TGTTAGGTGAGTGAATGATACAGAAGGGAAACCAACGCTGGGGAAAAAGAGAGGCTAAGTATGAGAAGAATAATTCCTGATGTAAGTCTGACAGGACAAAACTTTAATTCCTCCATCCACAAGGTGAAGAATCAGGACCACAGCAGGTTTCTGGACACTGATGAACAGGATCGCGCTGACCTGACGGAACTGTCCAAGAACTTCTTCATACATGAGGGATTCAGGTAAACAGGTATTATGAGTGGGCTCAGAACTTTGCCTCATTAAAAAAAAACCTTTGTGACTCTGATTAACAATCATATTTGGAAACTACCTATCTAAATCTAAGGCCTTTTTCAGCCAAAATGTCCTCTCTTTCTTTGCTTTCCATTGGCCTCTCTTTAAAAGTCTTTGTGACAGTCATCTGGTCTCTTCAGCAACAGGGCTGTCTTTTTTTTTTTTTTTTTTTGGTATCAAGGCTCGAACTTATGACCTCATGCTTGCCAGGCAGATGCTTATGCCGCTGAGCTAAATCCCCAGTCCCAATAGCTGTCATTTTTTAGCGGAAGCTGCCCCTGCAATCCGTGCATCACGGATGACTACAAGGACAAAGAGTCTGCGGAGTGAGCACGAATGACTACAAGGACAAAGAGTCTGCAAGGAGCAGGAGAGCGGACTGCAGGAAGAGGAAGGAGAGGAAAGATGGCCGCTGAACGTGTACAAGTGAACCAGATGAGTTAACGGCGCCAGACCAGCTTACACAGAGGAGAACGCATGAGCTGGACGCCCACATGTCCCACCTGGAGAAACACACAAGTATGAGGCAGTGGGCACAGGCGGCCCACACGAACCTGTCTGTGTCCCGCCCTCACCATCCCCAGAGGCCTGGCTAATAGACACACTCCTTTATTCAACTTACTCTGCCATTTTTTTTAACCTTGCAATTGTTTTGTATCTCTATATATTTGGCTCTCCTTCTCTGACCATTCTTAGCTGTTGTTAACTATTATTTAATTTCAAGTATTTAAGTTATTTAAATTATTTAATTAATAGCCCATTACTTTATTTTATTTTTTGCAATACTGGAATTGAAGCTGGAGGTTCTACACTGAACTACATCCCCAGGCTGTTTTTTAAAGTCTGGCACAGGGTCTTAATAAATCACTGCTATGATCCTCTTGCCTTAGCCTCCCAGAGTGCTAGGATTACAGCTGTGTACCACCATGTCCAGCTAATTTTATTTTTTGAGAGACAATCTCAACTTGATGTGGTTTTCTAAAAGCCACAGTCTGAGAGAAAGTTACACTATTTCGCCATATTATTTCTGGTGTTTTCCTACACTGGAGCTATAAGACTTCTGAATAATGTTTTACTCTATAATCACCATTGACTCCTAAATGCTTTTCTTAGGTGGGAACTGGAATAAAGTTTGTTTTCTCTCTTTACTTTTTTTTGTGTGTATATGGGGGATCGAACTCATGACCTTGAGCTTTCCAGGCAAACGCTTACACCACTGAGCTAAATCCCTGGCCCTGTTCTCATTTATTTTTGCTAACTCTTGGTATCTTACATTTTTTTGGAGTTTTTCTTATAAACCAAATAATTCTCTTCCCAAGAGAGTTAAGTATCACGCATTAAAGTTTCATTTACCTATTTCTCTCTACATATGATTTATAAAAAATTTGAAAGAAGTATCAGAATTCTAGAATTAACAACTCTTTATACAAAATACTTATTTTACCTATTTTATCCTATTCTTTATTTTTTCTTATAGCCAGGTATAACTTTAAGATATATAACACATAATTTTATAATTTATCCCACAAGTATTTATTAAACATTATGTGTTGCCTCATAGCCAAATTCCTTTTCTGTAACAATCTAAAAACTCAGCTGGACATGGTGGCTCACACATGTAATCCCAGCACTCAGGAGGCTGAGGCAGGAGAATCATTGAGAGTTCGAGACCAGCCTGGGCTACAAAGTGAGCTTAAGGTCAGCCTGAATTGCAATAGCGAGACCCCATCTCAAAAAAAAGACAGAAAAAAAAAATCTAAAAACTCCTGCAATTTCAATTTTGCTTTAAAGAACTTTTAAAAAGTAGATTTAGAGGTGCTGGGGATTTAGCTCAGTGGCATAAGCGTCTGCCTTGGAAGTGCACAGTCATGAGTTCGATCCCTGGTACTGATAAAAAAACAAAACAAAAAATAAAGCAAAAAAGTAAATTTGGGAAGCAAGAAAAAAAGGCTAACTTAAGAGCTTACTCTCATTTATAATGATTCTACAGAAAAAAATGTGCTTGGCAAAAACTGCATCAGTGTGGGGAACTCAGAGTTGTCTACTGTCTCCACTGGCCACATATCTCACTGAAGGAAAGGAAACAGGCTCTCCATCCTACTTCCCCTCCGATCCCATCTCAGCTTCAATAATAGCAACAGACAGTCTCCAGACAGCGGAAAACAAGGGGTGGGACAATTGAGCTGCATCTCCACAGATCCAGCTCAGGCTGGGTCACACCTCCACGCAGACTCTTGAACGGAACAAGCAGCCCCGTCTCCACATGGATGCTTTTCTTGTCTTGTCCCATGAAATTTCACAGATATCATTAAAAGCACAAGCAACAACAACAAAAAAGACATCAAATTAAAAAACTACCAATCAAAGAAAACAAGACAGCCTACAAAATGGGAGACAATACTTGCAAGTAACATATTTGATGAGGGACTAATCTGCAAAAATATTTAAGGAATTCCTATGATTCCATACCAAAGAGAAAATTAATAACCTGATTAAAAAATAAGCTAAGGACCTAAATAAACTTAGCTCCAAAGAAGACACACAAATGGTCAACAGGTACATGAGTGTCATTAATCATAAGGGAAGTGCAAATCAAAAGTACAATGAAGTATGACTTCATACCTGTCAGCACAGCTGTCACTAAAAACAAAACAAAACAAAAAGGGCAAATGTTGGCAAGAATGTGGAGAAATTGGAACCCATGCACCCCACCAATGGAATGCAAAATGGAACAGCCACTATGCAAAGCAGTATGTGGATTCTTTAGAAAACTAAAAACAGAACTACCACATACGACCCAGCAATCCTACTTCCAGATGTTCATCCAAAAGCACAGAAAGCAGGCTCTGGGAGGTATCAGCACCTCCACAGGCACTGTAGCACTACTTACAACAGCCACTGCTCAGATAAGAAAAAACTGAAGCACCCATCAGCTCAGGAATGGTAAGGAAAATGTGGTGTGTATATGTAAAGAAATACTGTTCATCCCGAAAAAGAAAAAAATTCTGCAGTATATGACAACATGGATGAAACTTGAGGACACTATGCTAAGCAAAGTAAGCCAGTCACAGAAGGACATATACAGAATGATCTCACTTAAGAGTTCTAAGACAGTCAAATCTGTGGATCTGAAAAGTGGAAATATAGGAGACCATGATGGTTTGGATCTATAATGTCTCCCAAAAGTTTCCTGACCAGAGGCTCCTGGAAGGTGACCGGATCACAGGCGAGCTGTACTCATCAGTGGAGTGATCAGTGTGGGGCCCGGCTGGGAGCAGTGTACCTCTGAGGGGCAGCCTATGGAGATGTGTCTCCCTCCCCAGCCCCTCTCTTTCTGCTCTGCTTCCTGGCTGCCATGAGGTGAGCAGCTGTCCGACGCCAGACCTTCCCATCGTGCCATTTCCTCCTCGAAGTCAGTCAAGCATGGACTGAAAACTCCAAGTGACAAGCCAAATTAAACCTCTCTTCTTCAAGTTGTGGGTGTTGGGTGTTTTGTCTCAGAGACAGGAAAGCTGACTAACACCTGCTATGTAACACTGTACCTATAATACAACAACAATGCACTACACACTTAAAATGTCTTAGGTATCTGCCTGGCAAGTATGAAGTTGTGAGTTCAATTCCCAATATGAAAAAAAAGTCTTAGGTAGACCTCATGTTGCATTCTTATTAAAATAAAATAAAGTGAAAAAATGCTTTTAAAGTAAGAGTCTAAAAGAGCAAATGCTTCTGCAAAATGATAACATTGTTGGAGATTTAGCCCAGTGGCATAAGCGCTTGCCTTGCAAGCGTGCGGTTGTGAGTTCAATCCCAGGTACCAAGAAAAAAAAGAATGATAACATCAAGCCTATTAATAGTGTTTATCTTCTTGGTCTCACTTTAGGATCAACTAAATAACTCTAGCAGAACCTAGAAAATAATACCTACTCAAAAAAAAAAAACACTAAACGATAAATACATTTTTAAAAGATCTTTCAGCGGGGTTGGAGTTTTAGCTCAGCGGCATAAGTGCCTGCCTTACAAGCAGGCAGTCTTGAGTTTGATCCTTGGTACCAATAAAAAGGGAAAAGACAAAAAAAAAAGTTAAAAAAAAAAAAAATCTTCCAGCATCTAAATTTTCAGTACTGACATTCTGAACTCCAAAACATGCTCTCCCTTCATTCATATGCACCCTTCCTTCGCATACCTGAATACCGTAGTGAGGGCATCTTTATCAAAACTATGACAGAAGCCTGTCCCTGACAGGCACAGAGTTACTCTTTCCTTTCTTAGCTCTTCCTAACTTCAATCAGGTGCTCTGTTGGAAGTTTTCTCATATTTATACTTGACTTCCCAGAATGAAAATGGAGCTCACTAGTCCACAGGAATTAGGTTTTCTCTTGAACTGCCTCCAGTGCTGACACACTACTATGTATCAGCAACCCTCCCCACACACACAAGGACTGCTGTCACTTCTCCTTCCAGTTCTGTCAAACCTCCAAGAGAGTGTTCCTATCTTAGGCATTTATATATGTGCAGACTACGGCTTTAGGAAGACTTCAAAAGCTAAATTTTCTGTTTCTGAGTATCTGAAAACCTAATCAGGCTAAGAAAATCACAGGCCGTTTTAAAGTGGGATAATAAAAAATAAATGTCTTTAGTCATTTACTTACATGACCATAATAACAAATGCATAAAAATTATGCCTGTATAATCTGGCTTATCATAGGCTCATGAAAAAATACCTTTTTCCTGAGAAAGCTTCTCCTCCTGGCGCTGGTGGTGAGGTTTATAAGGTGCTGCCCCCTGACTGAGTCCTTCAGCCACATAACCATCCAGGAAAGATAAGGAAGCATCTACCTATAGTAAAATTAAGTAGAAATTAATTAAGAATTCAAGTATTCACTCTAAGCAGCAGACTATATTCACGTAAATAATTTTAGCCAATATGTCCTTAAACAAAATTTTAAGGTGAAGACAGAAGCCTCAATTCTAAAAATGCTACCCAACTCTAACTTTCTGCAACACTGATAATCAGATCACCCGGCTAAGACTCATTCATTGTAAATCATCTGCAGGTAACAAAACTTTGCTGCAAGGCAAAATGGATTTGTGGGCACCTAATACTTTAGGGCATCACATTGGGCTTATCCTCCTGGGGGAGACAGGCAGGTGCCCTGCGAGTTAAGGTGCCTGCATTGGTTTTCTGCTCCTGAGGTTTAAAATCAGGTGCAGGCTGGGCCGGTGCCTTCTGGGTTCCAGGAGAATCCAATCCTGTGTCCTTCAGTTCCTAGGGATCACCTGTGTTGCTTGATCACAGTGCTGCTACCTTTGCCTGTGCTGTTATTTTGTTTCTTCTCTCTAATCCTAGTGCTTACATCCACAACCAACCTAGACAACCTGGGACAACCTCCCACTCACAAAATAGTTAACATTATCAGGTCTAGGACATGTTTACATGTGAGGTGATACATGTGCAGTCTTCAGGGATTAAGAAATTGGACATTTCTGAGAGGCCTTTATTCAGCTTCCTACCGTGTCTTAACTATTCTATTCCTTTCCATCTGAAAATGCTTTTTCACAAGTTGATAAAGAATTAATTTCTGAAAAAGTAGAAAGGTATAAGAGGTACTTTTCTAAGTGAAAAGATAAATGATAAAGAAGAAAAAAGAATGAAGAGAAATGGAAAAAAGGTTAGGAGAGGGTATATAGCTCAGCAGCGCAGGTGCCTGCCTGGCAAGCCTAAGGTCCTGAGTTTGATTCCCATTACCAAAAAAAAAAAAAAAAAAAAAAAAAGATGAGAATGTTACAGGCAGCTGAACATTATAGAAATATAGGCAGTCAGACAGGAATAGGCCCTCGAGGAAACCGGCACAGAGGATCAAATGTCTTGGAAAAGACACACACCTCTTGCTGTGGGCCAGATCTCAAGACAGAAGGCAAAACAAATGCAACCACACCCCAAGTATAATCCTTAGGGATTAGGTATGGATCACTTTGAGAAGCCTGGAGTCACCATCCCAAGACCCACAGGAGGAGTCACTAGTCCTTAAGAAGGTCTGATTGCCACCTGCCTCGCTTCCCCATTTGTCCCTAATTTGGTCAATTCTACCTGAACAATTAATCTGAATGGTTGGTCATAGTTCTGCCCCACCTCATGCCCCGTCTGTCTTGCGAGTTCCCAGTTCTACCTTGCCAGTTTCCAGTTTTCCCCACCTTAGACCTACCTCACCTCACGATTTTACTCTATAAAAATCCCTAGAAAAGATACAATCTTTCGCAACCCACTTGGGACCCCTTCTCCCTCTCTCTCAGATAGAAGCAATCTTTCTCTCAATAAATATTTATGCTCTTAACCTCCGTTGTTCCTAAAAGTCATTCTTTGATTGTAGAGAACATGAACTCATATTGGACATCTAGTAGGTGGGAAATTTCATTCCCCTGTATCAAGGAGATAAAGAAAATGATGTATTCAAAAGAGGAGAGCAGAATGTTCTCAGGAACAAGAGATTTGCTTCTCTGGCTCAGCCAGAAGTGTAAACAGCTCAGAAAATTTACAAAAGCACATAATTCTCAAAACCAGAGAGGCATCTCCCACTCTGAATTTGGAAAGGGGCAGCTTCTACACAATTCTGAAGAGATGGGGCTACATCACCGTCATTATTTTTACCAGGGGAAAGGGAAGTGCAGTGACCAGCGTCAATGCCCTAGAGTAGCGTGTGTCCAGCACATCACTGTTTTAGTGAACACATCTAGAATGCCTCCCCAAATGCTAAGCAGTCTCTACCTTCCAGAGCTGCTGAGCAAAGTTAAGAACAAGCGTTCAAAAGGAACACAAGGCATGAAAAACTGCGGAAACATTAGCGGGGATGTCATCCATCCTCTTCTTCCCAAACACAAGAGATCTAACACCTAAAACTTTCAACCAATTTGGTTTCCCCACTGGAAGTTTTCTAATTTACACCAATCGGAGGGAAAGGCTGGCTGAAGCAAGAGGGAGGAGTAGCTAACAACTTTAGGTTAAAAGGTGTAGTTGTTGACAGTAGGTAAAAGAAGCACAGGCGGATGCTCAGATTCCAAATAGTAAAGGATTTAGATAGCTCATGGACAAAATGTAGTTGAGACTTTTAAAAAAAAAAATATTCTCAAAGAAAACAGAGTATTAGCCAGGTGTAGTGGCTCCTACCTGTAATCCCAGCACTCTGGGAGTCTGAGCCAGGAGGATCACAAATTTGAGCCATCTGGGAAATAGAGTAGGAATGACTACCAAAATTTCAAAAGATGATTTTAAAAGTTCTTAAATTACTGTATCGTGAAAGTGATCACTGGGCAACCCATTCAGGACCACTCCTATCTCTCAAGAGCTATTCCTATTCCCTGCTCCTTTTCATCAATACACTTTCTATTCTTAAAAAAGAAACAAACAAATAATTTTTTTTTAAAAAAAGGATCAATCTTCAGTTGTGTTTCCAGAAGAGATATTTTTCTGTTCCTGGCTGTTTAGAATTGGATGGAAACTCTCAATTTTCTTTTCTACTAGTGTGAGAAAAACCGTAACATTCTTCTTAAGAGCCACACGAACTATATTTTGATGTATTCCTTTTAAATCACAGATGAAAGAAAAACTCTGCATGTTTAGACAATACCACTTTTAAAAAGATGAAACCCAGACATCTTACCACCAGGTCTTCGCAGCTCTTATTGACTGGAAGCAAGTTCTTCATAACTTCTACATTCTCATACAAATGCTTTAATTCGAATGTTTGCTGCCTCATACATGTATCCAAAGACCCAGTGAATTCCTGGATTATTCTCTCCACTGTGCTAGAAGTCTGAGCTTGAGGTGTCAACTTGGTCACTGCGGCAATCAACCAGGCTTTTGTTTCTGAAGAAATGGAGTCATTCATAAGTAACTTATACAGCCTGTTTATCACTTCCTCTGGCTTTTCTTTATCTAAGAGGTAAGAATACTCTCCTAACACCTAGGAATAAAACAAAAGAGGTATTGCATAGACAGCAAGTCACACAACAAACTATACTCAGAAACCCAAGCATTATTGTTAGAGTGAAATTAACCTAGTTTAAACACACTCTCACAGTGAAGAAATTACTAAAGAAAAAATTGTAGATTGCAGGTTTAAAATAATACCAAGAATGATATGCTCAACCTGGGCATAGTGGTGCACACTTGTAATTCTAGCACTCGGGAGGCTGAGGCAGGAGGATTATTAGGAGTACAAGAGCAGCCTTATGCTACAAGGTGAGCTCAAGATCAGCCTGAATGGCATAGCGAGACCCTGTCCAACAGGCACAAAAAAAAAAAAGACAAGAATGATATGCTCAAAAGAAATGGAAATCAATATAAAAAGATTTCCCATATATTTGTCATTAACAATATATAAAGCAAAAATATCATTAGAAATTAGTTTTCTTTTGACCTTTTTTTTTTTCAAGACAGGATTTTGCCATATAGTTCAAGCTGGGTTTGAACTCACTATGTAGCCCATGCTGGCCTGAAACTCATGGCGATTCTTCTGCCTTGGCCTCCCGAGGGCTGGGATTACAGGTGTGCTCTACCATACCCAGCTCTTTTGAATTTCTAAACTGTCAGTTTTTACAAGCACTTTCACATTTTGTTATTACATTCCAGCAAGAGTTTAAATAAGTAGTTCTCAAACTTTAGGATGCGTAACATCAACCTGTAGTACTTCATAAAACACCATCCATCTGGCGCTGGTGGTGCACACCTGAAATCCCAGCAGTTTTGCAGACAGAGGCAGGAGAATCATAAATTCAAGCCCAACCTGGGCAATTTAGTGACTCATCAAGTGCCTGTCTCAAATAAAATATGAGCTAGGCCTCAGGGTACATAGCCCAGTATGAGAGTCCTGAGCTTAAGCCCCAGTACCACATTATCAAAAACAAAGAAAAAAACCCCGAGATTTCTAGTCTCTTATCTCAGATATCTTAAGTTAGCATGGCTTCAGTGGGGACTGAGGGTACACACACTTTGGCAAGCATCAATGGTTCTGATATAGGTGGTCCATAGGACACACTGTGAGGGATACTGATCCGTGTGTCACACATCCTTTCTCTTACATCTAATTTACTTGGGTGACATACAATTCTGTTGGCATAAGAATCATCTGCAAAGTGAATTGGGAGAATGAACCTTTCTTAAATGGTATTTATGGAATATCTTCACGTCAAGTGTAATACTGGCTCCAGCAGGAAAAGAGAAGGGCAAAGAAAAATTATAGCTAGTAAGGAAAAGAACAGGAGAAAAAGTCAACAGGACTAAGCAATGCTTAACTAGTATGTTACGGTTTATGTCTAGATGTCCCCCAAAGCCTCATTCTAGAGTTTGTGAATGACTCCTGGTCCATGCTGGGATTATGAGTATGAAGACTACCCCCAAGTGGGTGTGGGCTACACACAATATAAGGGACAGAAAGAGTCCCAGCTCTGTGCTCCTCCTCTCTTTTTGCTCTTGTTGGTTTTGCTATTTTCTGCCACCACAAACTGTTGTCCCTCTGCCATGTGCCACTCTGCCTTGGAGCTAGCTGATTACAGACTCAAACTTCCACAAACTGTGAGTTAAATAAACCCTTTTTTGCTTCACTTTGGGTGTCAGGTATTTTGTCTTAGCAATGAGAGAAAAGTAACCAAGATACAGTATGATAAACAGAGCCATACACAGTGACCTGTGACCTGCGGCTCCAGCCTGGAAGTGGGTCCTTTACCAGTCAAGCTTCAGAGAAGACAGCAGCCCCCACTGAACCTAGAGAGACCTGAATAAGACAGACCAGCCAAGCCAGGCTTAGAGTCCTGACTCACAGAATCAGGGTCATCTGAAACCACTAGGAAACTCAGCTATGCAGCAATACAAAATGAATACAGCACAGATATAGAGACGGTCACATATTCAAACACGGGCTCATAAAAAACACGACAATGTGAACATAAACAGAGACCCAAATAAACACCCACTTACATGAGCTGGCAGAGACAAAGGATGGACAAGAGTTAGCTTTCTGGAGAAAATACGGTGGTATTTGGTTTTTATAAAAAATAATTATAAATCTGTATGATGTGATGTACTTTACTCACCCAACTCATAACCTGAAGAAATCTCTGTGGATAAATTAACGCATTTTCCGCATCTAATAAACTGAGGTATGACTGAACCGCATAGACTCTTAACTGCTGATCTTCTGTCTCATCCTCAAAACCTACAAACCAATTGACACTCAATTTTTAATTTCCTAAGGACTCTGTCATAAGAAAGATAACAAACACTGAACTTGAAAATCTTTACCAACCTTCTGCCAACAGCCTCAGAAAGTTACTGGGGATATCAGGGTGCATCACATCTCCCCCCACTGAAAACACAGCATTCATTGTCTGAATAAACCACGCGTTATCAGGAGCATATGTGTCCACGCGTTAAGAATAAGTACACGTTCAAATGTACTTACTACAATTATCCTTACTGAGACAACCTTTTAAAAATAACCCCAACCCATTCTAGTGTAGCATGGTTATATTTAACCTCTGCCATCTAATGTTCTCTAGCCCAGTTTATATAAAATGAATGTTCAATAAAGTTTATTTCATAAACTGAGTTTATGTCACCTTCTCTAGTACTACGCTTAGCCATAGTTAGCATCCTGGTCATAAGCACTAAATAACTGCAAAATTGAGCCAGCTAATAAAGAAAAATTAAATATTGCAAAAACTCTCTGTAGTTGGGGCTGGGAATTTAGCTCAGCGGCATAAGCACTTGCCTTGCAAGCAGGCAGTCGTGAGTTCGATCCCTGGTACCAATAAAAATGAAAAAGACAAAAAAAAAAACCTCTCTGTAGTTCGTGAAGGCTAAGCACGGCAGTGTAACCACCTGAACACATTAGGTGACTGCTTCTCTGGAACATTCCACATCAGCTCTGAGCCACTGCCATCCTGCTGGGCCAGAGTTCCAGCACTGTCCAGGGCAAAACCATCTTTCAGTAGATTCCAGGATTCTTTGAATAACATTACCTACTCATTCTTTCTTAGAATTAAACAGCAGACATCTTTAAAAGAATGTCATGCCCTTATAAGCCTGTAAGTTTCTCACGCTCTTGAAAAAGAAAACAAAAGTGGAAAGCCAGGCACGGTGCCATGGGCCTGTTATCTCAGCACTCAGGAAGCTGAGGCAGGAGGACTGCTGCAAGTTCAAGGCCCTGGACTACACAGTGAGTTCAGGGGCAGCCTCAACTGCATAGCAAGACCCTGTCTCAAAAAACCAAAAGAAAAAAGAAAGCAAATGTGAAGAAATTAAACTGCAACTTGAGTTTCTAATTGCTTTACTGTAATAAATGCCAAAATAACATCACAGAGGATGCATTTTAGGACGTTGGTCCTGCACCTACTCCTTCCCTTACCCAAAAGCGAACCCCTACTCAGAAGGAAACCTGAGTAGGTGAAGACCAGGAGAGTAGGGCAGAGGCTCAGTGGTAGAACATGTGGTGAGAGGCCTTAGGTTCAGCCTCCACCACTGCACCAAAAGACAGGAAGGAAGAGGGACCAGGCAGGAAGAGGGACCAGGCAGAAGTCCCACTGCTTTCCTGTTAGTGACTGAACACACACACAGAAAAAAAAAAAAAAAAAAAACCATCCTCCAAGAAGTCTGCATAAATTCCTACACTGAGTAATTAAAGGCTTAAAAATAAGGAATGCAGTTTATTACGGGGTGTCTGAACTCAACATGCAAGCGACCACATCTACACCAATCATTTCCAAGTCAGTGGCTCATCAGGGTATTCATGACTTAGGATCCACACAAAGGATATTTCTCAGCCAGCTCAGCTATTTTGCCAACTAAGTTGACAATGATATATTCTTCTTTGCTCTGATGTAAATATTCAAGCATTTTCTGGACAATAACTGTTACATTCTGTGAATTCGTAATTCTGTAAAGAAGCTCCAAAGTCTATTTGAGGAAAAGAAGTAAAAACAGCATTATGAAACTATGCATGATAACACCAAAAACTACAGTAACAAATTTTTTAATACTGCAATGGATTATTCTACTTGTATGGAGAGCTACTAAAAGTCAGTTATAGGTGATCAAGAAATATAAATTGTAACTAAAGAGTTAAAAAAAAAAAGTAAAATTATTGCCAAAAAATAGGTCGAAGCTGGGCGTAATAGTGCATGCCTGTAATTATCAGTACTCAGGAGGCTGAGGCAGAAAGATATTGAGTGCAAGGCCAGCCTGGGCTGGGAGGGAGGGGGAGAAAGGGGAGAAGGGAAAGGGAGGAGAAGAGAAAAGGAAGATGAAAGAGGAAGAAAAAGAAAAAAGAAGTAAGGAAGAAAGGGAAGGGATGAATTTGAAAGTCTAAACATTTTGTACTGGAATAATTAATATATGACATTTCTACATGACAGAACACGTAAAACTAAAAAGTTACAAGGTGTATAACATATTTTCAAACACATAATAGGTGTAAGCGTACACTAGTTACAACTACAGGGGTACGTGTGTGTACATGCAGTACTCCCTGAGAAGCTGAGTAACAGAAAACAGCACTGCAGTCAGCCTCACGGCGGAACGTACGTGGCTTCTGATGGGACGCACAAGGCCTGACAGCTCAAGATCTTAAAAGTGTAAGTGTTGAATGTAATAGCTCTATTTTTAGCTTACTGCTTTTGAGATACTTAAATAGCACATTCTCTTTTTCCTAACTTTATTATTTTTGAAGTTTTTTACTCTTTTTAACTGGGTCCCACATATCACTTTAAATGAAGATACAGAGTGATTTCTTTATATGAGAATAAAAATATTTATATAAACATTCAGGTGAATACTGAAGTAATTTTACAAAAGAAAAATGTTGAAACAAATCTAAGTATATAATTATACCCTATCTTCCAAAAAATTCACTTTAAAGATATTTTCATTAATTATTTTAATATTCCTATTTAATAGTGAATTTATTAACAAATTTTCCAGAGATGATTAGAAACTAATTAACCATCATAAATTATATCTTATATTGTATCAACACAAAGCCTTAGGACTAAAATTCAGCCCCAATGATACAATGTTTAGGTTAAAAAAAATTACTGGATTCAAACAGGTAATTGGATATAACTTCTTCAATCATAATTTAAAGTTATTCCTGTGGCCAATGAAAGTGTTTTTTAGAAAAGTTACATAAACTTTAGTAGAAATAAACACGCAAAATTAAAAACACACACAGTGTATCAATTAAATCTACAAAATACCAATGTCAACATTTCACATACACCATTCAAAGCACCAGTTTACCTCTCTTTTGATAATGGGGTCAGGATGGTCTAAACATTCGATTATTGTCATCTGGTGTTGAAGAGCCAGCGTGGGATCCTGTTGGACAACATAGGTAAGAGCCTTCAGTCCTAGAAACAAAGACCACATTACAGGAAGTGACCTGAAGCGAGGGCCCAGCAAACTTCAAAAGCTTGCTCTACAATTGCCATCAAAAGGATCAACCGCCTTACCTAAATATTTCAGATTTATTTTAGGTGACAGGACAAATTTTCCAATGCATTTGGCAGCCTTCTCAAGTAATTCTGACTTAGGATAAATAGAATAGACTGTATGTACACATTCGAACAGAATAGCTAGGAAAAACAGAAAAAGGGCACAATAAGGACATATTTGTGGGGAATTTAAAGCAAACTGGAAGAATGGTTTTAGTCAAAAGTTTTATTTACAGAAAATTTTTAACAAACAACCTCTATTCGTTTTAGGCTTACACCCCAGTATGACTAAAAGGAAATGGCACTGCTAATAGATAGGAAAAAAACATTAAATTTATTCCCAAGTATTCTACTGAACATTTCTTATGGGGTACATGCGGCACAGAACAATGGGTACAGCAGTGAGCAAACTGACCAAACCCTACCCCCAGGAGCTCAATATGTCCACTCTTCCCAGAAAAACTGGACTTCCCAACAATCCCCAGAGGCTTTAATATGGTTTATTCTCAAGTGCTCTTGAGCACCTAGACACAGAAATTATGTGTGCAGTTTATTTCAATATAATCGTTCAGGATGCTCCACAATTATTTCAAGGGTAGGCTCGCTACTCAAAAATCTTCCAGCTCATTACTTAAAACTAACCTCAAAATACAAAAAAAGTCTGCTATATCCAAGTTTTATTTTCAGGTACAGTCAAGAATCTGGTAACTACAGGGGTCAGAGGGGACACTAACATTTTCTCAAATTCTTCTAGAGAGCATGAGTTGAGGCATGGAAGCTTTGCCAAGGTGAAGAATCGCTGGGACATCAAGGCCCATGTGTCCTAGGGAACTGCAGCATCAGAAGTCGGGGGTGTAGCTCAGCGGCACAGCGCCTGCTGACAAGCATGAGACCCTAAGTTCGATTCCCAGTACCAAAAAATAAATAAATAAAAACAAAAACAAAAAAAACCTCTATGATTCATGAAGTATTAAACCTATAATACAAACAAAACAATTTTCTCTTCCTTTAATTCAGTTAAAGCATGTTACTCATTAATTAACCCACTGCCAGGTACTGGGATAGTTTGGTCAAAAGATAGATAGATACAAGGCCTATTCTTTAAACCTTGAAATTTAAAATTCATATTTTAAGCAATAAAATATTTATATCAGGCCTGCTATAGAACAATCTACCACAATACAATCAATGTAAGCTATAAACTGTATCAATACAAATAAGAAGTATTGCTAAATAAAGAAAAAAAAATCACCTTATGAAAAGCCTACAAGGACACTAATTTTAGGTGCTGGTTCAAGGAATCTTGAACAAAAAGAGGATCTGACCGGAGAACATTTTAAAAAATTCCTCAATTGTATCCTCTACATGAAAGGAAGAGATGAGAGCAGCTATGTCTGAGAATGGGAGCTGGTAGGAGCAGGAGGGACTCACCGTTCACTGCAAAGCCTTTGCACCCACTAAGTTCTGAACAGCATACACATATCACCTATACAAAAAATTAAAGGCTTTCCAGAAAGAAATCAAAAGAAGGGAGGAAAGGGAAAGGGTAGGGCAGATGCTTAACTAATCTGTAAACGGAGCCCCCACAAGCTTGTAGACCCCTTCCTGGACGCTAACAACACACATGGCACGTGTGACTCCAACTCAGCAACCCAGAGAGACGCTGACCGCTCCTGGCTGAACCACCTGCTGGTCACCCTCCCCTGTAACCCCTCAGTCTCATCACACAGGTGCCTGGGTAATGCGGTCAGAGACCGCAGCGCACACTCACAGGGCAGCACCCTGGCCACCTGACTCTTCCTGCATCTCCCAACACAAAGCAGGACAGAAGTTAGGGACTGCCTCAGCCAGGACCTAGACTTTAAAAAGCCAAGTTTTGTTTCCTAGGCCTTCATCAATGCAAGCTGAAATATTCTTACTGCCTTAATTACCATGTATGCATCCTTCAAAGTTTACTATGTTGGTTCATTACCATGGGTGCTAGTTTGCCTGTACTATTCTCATGAATACAATCCTTTTTCCTGTACCAACCTCTCCCTGCCAAGCACTTCTTATTTCAGTTCAGTCCTGCCTCCGGCCTACCCTAGAGAGCCACATCTAGTGGGAAAGGACAGGCCTTGTCCCTACTTCCTGGTGCCTTAGGCCCACGGCTCTGCATCTGCAGCTCCAACCAACTGCAGAGCAGAAACACTGGGACAAGCTGCACCTGTGAATGTAAATGTCATCATTCCCTAAACAATGCAACACAACAGCAACTTACACCCTAACTCTTTTAGAGAGGGTTTATTTTTATTTATTTTTTTTTTCTTTTTTAGAGATGGCTTAAAGTACTTGAGAGCATATAGGTAGGTTATATACAAAAACAATGCCTTTTTTTTTTTTCTTTTTTAATTTGCAGTGCTGGGAAGTGAATCCAGGGCCTTTGCACTGAATTAAATCTGGAGGGGTTTTTTGTTTTTTGTTTGATACTGGGGATCAAACTCATGACCTTGCACTTGCCAGACAGGCGCTTTTGCCACTGAACTAAAACCCTGGCCTGGCAACCTTGTTTTTAATTTTTACTTTGAAACAAGATCTCACTAAGTCACTACATTACCCACACAGGGCTCAACTTTCCATCCTCCTGTCTCAGCCTCCCATAGTGCTGGGATCACAGGTCTGCACCATCACCCCTGGCAACATCAGGTCCCATGAGGGACCAGAGCACCCATGAAATTTGGTATGCATGGGAGAGGACATCCCATGGAGGACAACTGTACTTCCCCAACTTAAGAAGTGACCCCTCAGTACTTCCCCTGTTCTCCAAAGCATGCAAAATGTAAACAGTTTTACTTACTTCTTTTAAATAGCTCCAAAAATCTCAATTTCTTCACTGAGCTTGCTCAGCTCAATCAAAAGAGAGCAGTTCTCTTTGGTTAGAAGTTTTTGGATTACTTTCTCATCTTTCCACCCTTGTCTCGCAACTTACTCTTGTCTATCGCTAAATCACTTTTTGAAAACATGTATAACACAGTTCACAGTCTCATCACAAAATAGTTTGCTACTCTTCTGCATCTATATATTCTTGTATCTTACTCAACCTTCAGATTGAGGTAGAAGACATAGAAACTAGGTAGAGAACAAACCCTAAAGACCATAAAGACATTAAACCTATAAACCTAGGCTCTGGGCCTGTCCTTTCCAGCTGTGAACTGTGCTTCCCCCTCCCCAAAGGAAGTAGCAACATGAGGAGGCAGCGACCTCAACCTGGAACACTGCACTGGGACCATGACAGACAAGGGACACACATCCCGCATCACCCATCTGGAAAGCGGCCTCAGCGCACCCAGCTCCAGCTCCTGAGCACCTCTCTTCTCTGAGCACCCGCACTGTGCTCAAGTGCACCCTGACTCCCTAATAAGCCCTTCCCATGTCTCTTACTGACACATCCTGCAAATGTGCATACTGCAGTGGGAGTCAACAAATCTGCTAGCTTACTCTACGGTTGTGGGGTGGCGGTGGGGCTGGTTACATTCCTTTTTTCAGCCACAGCCACCCTCAGCTGCAGCCTGGCCTCAAGATGCCTTCTTAAAAACTGCTTTCCAGGAAAACCTTCCCTGGTGCCCCTCACCTAAGATAAGCTGCCACCTCCACCACAGCACCTTGTGATTCTTGGGTAACATTCACAACACCTCTCTTTGTAAGCCCGATGACAGCACAGTTTTAGTCATAGCTATATTCTAAGAACCCGGCACTGGGCCTGACAAATAACAGAAGCTTAATAAATAGTTGACTGATTTAAGAACTGTCTTCCCATAGAAGTTTTACAAAATGTGAAACAAACTTAGTGAGGTATCTTCACAGTCTATTAGATACTTGATAAATGTTTTCAATAAATAATTATAATAATGAATTTAGATCACTTAGAAAATGGCAGAATTTCAAATTATTACTATTATTCAGTGCTTACATTAACCCAAAGAACAATCTTAAAATTATGCATAAAATGCTATTGGAATTTACAGTATTCTCACAGATTTAGCTTCAATACGAAAAACAGCATTAGTTACTGGAGTAGCATTGCACGTTACCTACCATAAGTGATATTGTGATTTAACTCAGCTCTTCGCAAGGATTCATCAAGAACATCATACATTAATTCACTTGTCCTGTTTAAAAGATATTTTATTTGCAGTGGAATTATAGTATTCTAACCCAATAAAAACACAGTTTTTCAAACTTCTCTCTCTCTTTAAAACTGAGGATCTACAGAAGAGAAGTGAAAGAAATTCATTTTATGAAGTTATACAAATTTCACATCTAAAAGATTTCATTTGCTCTTTTCATGAGTGAATCTTCCTGTCTAATAAAGCTGACTAGTTACCTATGCGAAGACGCAAACATCAAGAACTCTCAACCTGGTCCTGATTTATAAACCAGGTCACTACCTAACTGAAAACACTCTCTTTTACTATTTTCTCTGCAACAAAATAGTTCTACCTGTTATTACAGTAAAACCTCACACATCCAGATTCTTCTTCTATTGTTTTTAATCAATTTGTTGTTTTAAAGATATTCAAATATTACTCTTTCCCTACATAGCAGCTCGCTTCCTCAATAAAAAACGTTTTAACTTTCATTTGTGTCAAAATAAAGAAATAAACCAGGTATGGTGGTACATTCAGCACTCAGGGAGGCTGAGGCAAGTGGATTGCAAAATCTGAGTCCCACGTGAGCAGTTCAGCAACGCAACAAGACTATGTATCAAGAGTTCATTTTAAAAGGGCTGGCTATATAGCTTAATGCAAAGGCCCTGGATTCAATGCCCAGTGCCACCAAAAAATGTGTGTGTGTGTGTGTGTGTGTGTGTGTGTGTGCATGAAATTAACAATTTCTAACACTTATATGTCTTTATGTCCCTCATTACAGTACATATAGTAATTGGGTTGTGATAGTGTTTAAAAAAACAATGCAGTGTTCACAGAGCCTTCTTATTACTCTGCCTCTCCAAGAGGCCAATGTGCAAAATACTCTGCTCAGATTTCTGTATGCTTCACAAATTCAAAAGGCTCTAACAAGAAAAATATCAAACCGCAACACACATTACATGCCATGGTCTTAGAGAGAAATCAGGCTGCAAAACAAAAATTCCCAAATAATCCGGGGCTGTATAAATTAGACAGCAAGAATGTTACATCTCTTTCAGAAAAATTTCTTCTTTTTTTTCCAATATAGGGCTAAAATAGCTATAACTAAGTACATTTACTTTCATTCTGTCCTAATGTATAACCAAAAGTAAGAACCCAGGACTGTATTCTAAAGTCTCTCATTTTATTATGTAGGCATTTGTTTCACAACAGCAGACATTACCAATCCTCCCTGCAAAATTTGGTGATACTAAACCTTCACTACAGCATAGTTCCTGAATTTCAAAAGCCACTGTCTGGCCTAAGATCATGATTAACCACATGATATGTGGCAGCATTTGTAGACATGACTGAGCCAAATCCTAAAAAGCACAACACTACAAAACACAAGAAAATACTCAAGCGAGGATAGAAAAGGCTTTTCTGGGAATTTTTTCTTCCAATTAAATGATCTAGATTTTTTATAAAAATGACATTTTTACTTTGCCACACTGAACTAATCATGCCTTATGAATTCTAAGATTTCTGCTAGCATAAAATCTCATTATGGGCAGTAAAGGAGAAAGCACCCTGGTGGCCAGCGACATGCAAAGGGTCCCAGCCTTCACTCACTGGATTGGGCCTAGCTACCCTTCAGCACTCTGCAGGGAACGTTCCTCACACATCTTTGCCAGCATCCTCCAAATCCGTCCACAAAGAAGAAAGATAATGACTTCATGAACTAGTGAGCAGGTTAAACTTATGGCAGTGTTTTAGACAAATAAGGTATAATGCACAGTAATATAAAATTAGTGGTTTTAAAATAGAATTCCAGGGGCTAGGGATTTAGCTCAGAAGCATAAGTGCATGCCTGGCAAGTGGGAGGTCATGAGTTTGATCCCCGGTACCAAAAAAAAAGAATTCCAATGACCTTAATCTACAGCTCCATATTAGGACAGGCTGGCGTTCCATACAATGAAACACAATGAATACAAACATTTCTAACATGTTTCTGCTCCATCCCCTCCTTTCACTCCATGTCTCTATCAGGCTTTGAACAACAACAACAAAAAAAAAAAACCCATTGTACCATGAAATTGACAAGGTACAGTTAGCACTGAGCAGGAGCTCACAGGAGGCCTTTCTAGAGCAATAGCAGGAAGACAACCTGAGGCTAAGGAATCAGAATACACACATATTCTGCAGAGTGAAAGGCAGCCTGGTCCCCACAGCCAGCACTGAGACAGAAACACAGCAGGAGCTCAGGCCAAGGTCCTATTCTCAAAGGAATTAAAATGTCATTGATCTGGCTCACAAACAGTTCAGTGGGAGAAAGAAGCACGTGTACTTGCACACAGGAAGAGAACGATGAAGTGAGCATAAATGACAATCGAGGAGCAGGGCACAAGGGACCTTCCTTGTGCTGTTCTTGGGACCACAAAAACTTGTATGTTTGAAAAACTATGGCAAAATTTAAAGTTATGATGGCAATGTGCAATGTATGTACCACTGTTATCCTGATTGCTGCATTTTGAAAGTTTTTTTCTCTTTGAAATAAAATGGATTTTAAAATTAAAAAAAAAATTTTTCTTTTGAGACAAGGTTTCTCTATGCATTTCAGGCTGGCCTTGAGCTCACTTTGTAGCCCAGGCTGGTCTGGAACTCCCAATGATCCTCCTGCCTCAGCCTCCTGAGTGTTGGGATTACAGGCATGAGCCACCATACCTGGCTGAAAATAAAAAAATTTTAAGTTAAAAAAAATAGGCATAATTGGAATGATGTCTTAAAAGTCTAATGTAATCCATGAACTAAGGGTGATCTGAGGTAAACAGATTCTAAAAATGAGGCACTCCCAGGCAAACACAGCACGCAGCAGCAGTTACCTGGCCAGGCACTTGCTTCTGTGCAGCGCAGGCTAAGTTGTTTTGACATTTTTTTAATGGTTGAGAGAAAAAAAATCAAAAAAACATCATTTCAGGACAGGTAGAGACTCTGAAATTCAAGTTTTCGTGTCCACAAAGTTTTTCTGGAACATAGCCATAGAACATTTATGTGTTCTCCACTGCCACTTTCAGCTTTGAGAGCATTCGGCCCACAAAGCCACCCTCTGGCCTTTGCAGAAAACGTGTCCTAATTTTTAGAGAACATGAAGAAGCATCCCAGTGGGGAGCACCTGACTAAGCAGACCAAGGATGATAGCCAGCAACTGGAGAATTATACTTCTTACACAGGTTTGCTTATCACTCCTAAACCAGCAAAGGCCAGGCAGTGTCTGCTGTATCATGAACCTCTAGGTACCTAAAGCCTAAGGCTACCAAGTGCACATTAAGTAACTTACTTAGAATAGTTTACCTTTGGTCGTCTTTTCCTAGAAGTCCTAGTATTCTTAAGAGCTGTATTTGTAACCATGGCGCTGGCACACTGTGGTAATTAAAATCTACCGGGAGCTTTCCGCCAACGACTTGCTTTAAGATTGTTACAAAACTCCCAGTCAGGTCTTTATATCCAGACGCATTCTCCTGCATCCAAAAAAACCCCCCAAAAAACAAAAAGCAACTTTCTGTGAATATAATGTCTTCTCAAATATTAAATGCAGCTAGTTAAATGCCACATAGAACCTAGTGAATTAAAATGTGCTCACTTGGAAGTTTATATTCATCATTTAACAAAACAGTGTTTGCATGATTTCTTCCATGATGAAACTCTGCTGGCTACCCAGTCCAAAAGTTGACTCATTCCCGGAAATGCTTCCTACTCCCTATTTTTTCCAACCGTTTAATCACATTTCAAAAGTTCTTATAATTACATCTTAGAACCCTTAATAGCCAATATTGGCAGTTAAAGCAAAAACTAAAAAGAACTGGCACACTGCAAAGGGGCAGTAACATCACTCCTCTGGATGAAAATCAAGGCTTGTTCGTCATCTCTGCACTCTGTGTGCGAAGACCTCATGTAAATGAATTAAATCCATTCTCTGGCCAGGAGCACAGCCAAGACTTTGTAAATGTTCAAAACCCCCCAATCAGTGAGCTGTCAATCAAGAATTAATTACCCATAGAGTATGTAAATATATTTCCATTTCTGAATGAGTGCCTTGATTATCTATCTGACTAATCTCTTGGATTGGAAAAATTAAATATATACCACCTAAAATAAGCATCAGATTCTTCATTGTAATTTTTATTATGTTTCAAGAGCAAATTTTTAAAAGAAAAATAATAGCACTTTCAAATTTTTGTAAATGTGAGGAAGAAAGTAAGATTTACTATCAAATACCTATTTCTATCTCATACTATTTTGAAACACAAAGGCCAAAAGAGAAGACAAGCTTTGGTTCTATACACTTAGAAATTCAACACTTTATTAGTGTTCACAAAATCACTCACAAAGACATACTTTTGAAAAGGTTTCACGCAATTCGCTGAGACAGAGTTAATACAAAGCCACAATCGTCATTTAGAAGACATTTTTACCATTGCACTCAACCTCTTTCCTCACCTGCCACGGAGGGAACTGGGGAAGTCAACACTGAAATCTACACCTGGCAAGACCCACCCCCAGTTCTACAAGTTATCCTGCAGGCCATGAAGCTACGTACAAGAATCACTGCATGAAAAAACACAAATCTGCCAATTTATATCTCCTTTCAGAGCTACTGTTTTCCATATTTCTTTGGATAAATGAAAAAACTGAAGACATTTTAAGAATTTTAATTCTGTAACATGCCTCTGCCTCACACAATCAATGACTTATGAAAATTACTATTAAAAAATCAATAATAGCATCAAGCATTAATTAAGCCTTTACTGAAATTTAATTCTACAATTACACTTTTCTAGTGGTCAGTTCTGAGCATCTGCTGCAATTTCCACCTCACCTTGATCATCCTGAGGTATATATGCAAAGAAGCAGCCATCACCCCCACATCTCTGTCACAAAGCGCTTTCCGGAACTTCACGTGGATGTGCTGCACTTGGTTAGGAGCAATGAGATGGAATTTGTACAGCGCCAGAACAGCTTTTCTTCGTATAATCTCCCTAAGGACAGAAAGTGAAAGCTAAATGGCAGAATCCAAATCTCTAGGTATTTGCTCTGAAGCTTACAATCCAGATGATTTAAAAATGTCAGCTATGACACTAATCTAAAGAAGAAAAGATACAGTTAGCATTCATTTCTTTTTTCTAATACACTAAACTATAAAAACCACTTATGTCTAGGAGGTATGATCTCAAGAGACTTTAACAGTTCTATATTCTCTAGTTATGGAAGTTTTTCATAACATGCCTGTATTACTTTTGAAATCCGTTAAAACAAGTTAAGCAAATTTCTTAGTTCCCTAATTCCACTTTTAAAAATCTCATCTCAAGAAACTGGGAAAAGAGTCAATAGTAAGTTTAAATCAGTAACATGTAATTTCAGCTAGAGAATGTTTAAATGTTCTCTTTATTAGTATTAAAACCTTTTTTTCTGTGATAGCCAAGCATACTCCAAATTATCTCTGGGGATGAGGAGATACATGGATTAAAAAGAAGTTATACCTCCCTTTGCCCACTCTGTTTTTAAAACCTCAAGGGATATGAAGCAAAAATAAAGGGATCCTACTGTGTAATTTTTTTAACCTTTTCAGTTCTGGGTACAAATTCAGAGTACTGCACATGCTAGGCAAATAGTCTAATAGCTAAATTTCCAATTTCCCATTTTCTAAAATTATACTTTTAGGTTCCGGGAGAACATGGCGGACAGACAACAGCAACTACCAGAGGCTCTCTGAAAGGCTCGGCTCAGAGGCCAGGAATGATGCGGACTAAGGAGACATGAACCGGTAGAGATATGCTCTGCTGACTCAGGAACGAACTGGGCTGAGAGAAACCAACTTAGAATACAGTCCTGGCGCTAAAATAGGAACAGAAAAGACTTGGTGTGGAGGCTTGACCCCGTGCCATTGGAAACCGCGATTTGGGTTTCCCGCCGCCTGGCGGCTGGCTGCCTCCACAAGCGGCTCGGCAAGGAGAGACGCGCAGAAGCTCTGGGAATGGGAGTCTGAGAATGGAGTCGAAAACAGGACGGACAAAGAGGCCTACACTGACTGGTGGCGAGGTGAGTGAGAGAAACTGACCCCCTACCACAGTTTGACTCCAGCGGAGGACTTTCTGGGTTCGGGCAGTCCTGTAAGAGCAGGGCGCGGTGGCGACTCCAGCCACACATTCCCCTCTTGGACGGGATTGGTGAAAAGCGCCTGGCCTGCGTGACGCTGCTGGCGGACTCGGTAGACTGGCCTAACCCAGATCCCAGAGCCTGACGGTGGCCCGGAGGAGCGACTGACTCCCGCGTAGGCTGCCTCCTCCGCAACTCCCTTGTGCGCAGCGGTGGGCGGGAACAACTAGCCAGCGCAATTTGATCAGGCTGTGGCTGACAGGCAGGGAAGCCGGGCCTCCTATGTAAGCTTGCATTTTATAAGGAACAGAAAATATGGGGAAGGGAAGCAACAAGAAAGGCTCCTCGGCCCCCAATTCTGAGAAACAGGCAATAGTGGACACCACACCAATATACATTAAGCGCCATATAGAGAGCCTCATAGACCAATTCAGGAATGAAGTTATCAATGACCTGAAGCTAGAAGTATGCAGAATAGTTAGAGAAATGCTAAGCACCACCCAGGAAAAAACAGATGGTGGAATGGAAGAACAGAAAAAGAGGAGAGAATTGCTTGATGGAGAAAACAGAGAAAGCATTGAGTATGTGAAGCAGGTTCAAAGGGACTATCAAGAAATTAAGAAGTCTATCCAAGACTGGCATAACAGCTTGAAAGAAACTAAGGACAGACTATCTGAACTTCAGGGCAGACTTGTAATATGGGAGAATGAAATGAAAAACTTCTTAAAAATAACAAAGAAACAAACAGCAATAATACAAAGACAAGAGGATGATAAGAGGAGCCATAACTTAAGGATTAAGAACATAAAAGAAGAAGTAGGGACACAAACAAGTGAACTACAAAAGCTACTCACAGAAATAATCCAGGAGAATTTTCCTAATTTAGCAAAAGGTAAAGATACTCAGATGTATGAGGCATACAGGACCCCAGCTACCTACAACCCTAACAGAGAAACACCCAGGCATATAATAATAAAAATCCCAGAAATTCAATACAAGAACAGAATATTAAAAGCTGTAAGAGACAAGAAACAGACCACTTACAAGGGAACACCCATCAGAATTACAGCAGATTTCTCTGCACAAACCATCAAATCACAAAGAGTGTGGGGGGAAATAATTCAAGCTTTGAAAGATAATAATCTCCAGCCAAGATTGAGATATCCTGCACAACTGTCCCTGGAAATTGATGGAAAAACAAGGTGCTTCCAGGATAAAGAGGAACTGGGGGAATTTGCAACCACCAATTCAACCCTACAGAAAGTATTGCAGGATATTCTAAAAAAAGAAAAATCAAAGAACCCAGAAATAGTGGGGGGAGGCCACAATGAATGGAGCAGAGAACAAAATGAAGAAGACGAACTGACAGCTACTGACAGAAAAAGAGCTCAACAGAAATGAGACAGAGAAGATTGGATGATAGGAACAGCTATTTTGGAGAAAATGACATCTTAATAGGTAATACTGATTTAGTACCATCTTGTTTTGAAGTCTCATCTAGCTTTTGTTCTTCTGTCTCCAATGGTCTAAACAGGTTGTATCTTATTGGATTTTATTATGTACGATAGTATAAGCAAAAACCTTTTAAAGACAAGGAGATTATACAGAAACCATTGTTCATTTTCTGTTAGTCAATTCTAAATACTCTATAATGCTGTCATTCTCTTAAATGGTTTTACATTGTTTTGATATACTTAATGCTACAGTATATGAAGTTGTACTCAAGGACTTCAAGGAAAGAGTCAATATGGTAACTACTTTTGGGTCGGAATTATCTGGTGGTGAAACACTATTCTGCTTAAATGGTTATGTTTTGATCTGCCCTGTTTCGCTGTTATGCCCTCTTTTTTTCTCAATCTCCACTCCATTATTTACTTTTTCATTTTTATCCGTTTAATTAAAGGGAAAAAATAGCAGGATATAATATAGTAACCCACTTTGACTTTCTATTATCTCGATTTGAAGCCCTGTATTACTCTCACCATCTTGTTTTTGACTGAGGTTCCTCTATTCTGTTTTGCTGGATAGTATCAGGTTCGAAAGTTTAGGCATCAGCTGAGAAGATAATGAGATTCATTATAACGCCCATTCTCGTTGACTTTTATCTACTTTTGAAGACCTACAATGTCTCCAATGTTTTGGTTTTGTCGGTTTTGTTCTTTACTGTTTTGTTCAATTGTATTACAACTAATGATATAGGCAATTCTATTAGAGATAGCGGGAGGCATTATGGTAACCATTGTTGATCACCTTGTATTATGTTTTTATATTATCTATTATGTCCACCCTTTTGACTTGACCGATTCTGTTCTGTTATGTCATATTTGGTTTTACTCTCTTCCAAAAAAGCAATAAGAACTGTGGGAGCAATGAAACCCAAAATGTGTAATAGTCATTGTACAAAAGAGAGGAAAAGAAAGTGCTCTAAACTATATAACTGCATGTATATTTAAGTGTATAAGATAGAAAATGGTATCACAGAGTTTTATTGGATCACTGAACAGAACTGTTTGCAGTATCATTGTTGGGATGTCCACTCTACAAGCTTTAATTTTGTGACTTGAACAATTATTTCTAAGATGGCAATATGTAATCCATTAACTAGTGATTTCCTACTGCGCATTTTTTTCTTCTGTAAATCTGTATAACTTGTACCCCTTCACTGTTTTTTTTTCTTTTCTCCTTAAATAAAAAATAAATAAATAAATAAATAAAATAAAATTATACTTTTAGACAGGGTCTCACTGCATTGTCTGAACTGACCTCAAACTCACAATCCTTCTGCCTCAGCCTCCTGCATAGTTGCAGCTGGGATTACAGGTGTGTACTACCATGCCCAGCTCTCTATTCTATATTCTTGACATAGTTTTTAATGGACTGTATTTCTTGATATTCTCTCTCATGCCTCTTTCCACATATCTCATACTTGCTGACTAGGCTAGAAGTGCTCAAAACAACAGCAAACAACGCAAAAGTGAAATATTTACTTTAAGGTTCCTTAATATGTACTTCTTTTACCCAAAATCATACTATCTAAAAGTTGATGTTCCACTAATAGCATTTTAAAGAAGAAAAACAACAACAACAGCAAAGAATACTTGGATAAAATTCAAATAAATGGTTACCCAGCTTCCACTAAATTCCATTAACAGACAGCTCACCTCTTCTAAGCAAACTATGCCATGATAGAAAATTCTTTTCACATAAAAAGAAAAGCAAATTATCAACAGACTTGCCATTAACATCTTGATAGCTGTAAACTACCTACCAATGTATCATGTTTGGATGTTAACCAGTGTTAATTTTGGGAGAAAGTGGAGAGTTCATAAAGTAAAGAACACAAAACAAGCTCAAGAATTTCTAAGCCTGGCCCTAAGTGGGAAGATTAACCCAAGACTTCAAGAGACCAGATCTGGACTCTAAGCTGAGATGCTGAAAAGCTGAACTCAAGCCTGGCCTCACAGCTCTGTGATGTCCCCTGGCTTACCAGCCCCGCCACATATTCTACAGCATGAAGCCGCATCTGGCCATAACTTCAGAAGTAGAGTTTCAAAAACCCTAAACTCTAGCCATGATTTTAAATTAGACTAGTTGGGAAGCAGCAGGCCTTTGAATTCTCAGGATGATTTCATATAATGGTTGGTAGGTATGGTCACCACCAAAAGAGTGGTGGTAAGGAGAAATTACAAGAAAATATGCTGCTGCTACAATCAGATCACCTGTAAGTACCCAGGAGAAATTACTATTTTATTTCCAATAATTAATTGCCTTTAACCAACCTTTGTTCTAAACAGATTTAACATATAAAATATTATGAAATGTCCGAAAAATCCTAAAAGTTATTCTACCATTTTTGGTAAATAGCATCATTTTAAGTTAGTGGATTCGAGGTCCAAAATTTCTTAAAGAATGCAAGCTATAAGACAACAGTTTATAATCCAAACACGAATAATGCCAGCTTCAAGGAGCATGGGAAATACAGAAACGTATGAGTAACAAAGGCTCTTTTATCAAGAATGTACATGTAACTAACATACTATAACCACGAAAGAAAATGACTACAAACTTTTTACTAGAAAGGGCTTAGTTAAAATAAATTACAGGTGTGGTGACAAAGTGTATTAAGCAGATTAAGTAGTGTGTTAGGAAATCTTAAGGAGCACTTCAGCAAAATACAGGTCAGTACTTATTTGGTGTTTTCTGCTGGGAACTCGACTTTGAACACTGTGGTTTCCAAGGAATCTCCTTCATACGTGGAAGCTTCACATTCAATGCACTTACATGATCTTAATATATTTTCTGTTATTTTACTTTACCCTCAAAACAACTTCGGGAGAACCAAGAAGCTTCAACCAATGCCATACATAGACAAAAGAAAAACACAACCACTCCTCATTAGTGGTAAAGCAGGAGAAAAGCCAAGAGTTTGGGATGCCATGCCTCACTGTCTCTCAGTTTAACCAGAAAGCTGCCTGACATTTTCTAAACCCCATAAAAATAAGAACAATTCTACTGGGGAGTCTTGCGTTATATACTTGTTTGGAAAAGAATATCCTCAGTTCCGGTAGCACTAAGTTGAAATTCTGGTACACTCTAAGTCTGTTTTGAAATATATGGTGCAGACAGCTATGCTGAAAGTTTACTTACTTAGAATGTTGCAGTTTATCTTCTATTAGTGGAAGGACAGCTGGGATCATTTCTCGAGGGAAAATCTGGCTGACGACAGTAAGTGCCATACAAACTTCTACCAGGTTAGTGCTCTGCAAATCCTGGCATAATTATTAAGCAAAGAAGACATCAGCGTAAATTCGGAAATCAGCACTGGCAAGCCTGACAATATAATGGTCCTACGTACTTGGAATTCTGTTCCGATTTTGTAATTAATTTGCACATCCAGACTTCTGTCATACTTTATAGCAAAATCCCCACTTCCTTTATTTCTCTTAATAAAGTCAATAGATAAATAGTCAAAAGCAACTGATACAAAAGGAAACTTTTCATCTGAGGCTGGCAAAAGAAGTCTCTTTATTTTACACTTCAAGTTTTGCAAAGCAACATGGTATGGGAGGCTGAGGCAGGAGAATTGGTATACATTTGATGTCAGCCTGGGCTACACAGAGAGTTCAAGTCCAGCCTGAGCTATAGAGTAAGCCTGTCTCAAAAAACAAACAAAAAAACCCCCAATTTTATGAATTTTCTTATTAACAAAGAGGGGAAATTTAAAAGCAAGTAATTCTGGAGGTTATACAACAGACTGCATACGTTCATAAATACTCACAAATGCTTACAGTTTATAAACCGTTCTAATAGTACTTCAGAATATTTTTTAAAGTTTGAAAAAAATTTAAATTACTTGTAACTTTAATATCCAACTAAAATTTAGAAAATACTACATCCACAGACTCTCACATACATATATAACCCACAAGACAAAGAAGAGAAAGCTCAACAATTCAATTACACTTCATTATTAATTCTACTAGAAGCTTAGTGGGGCAAAATTCTGAGAGTGCAGGGTAAACTGTTTTTATTATCTGTACAATTCACTACTCAATTATATTCTATGTCCAACTTCAGTGACCTTTGGGATTTGAAGATGTCAGTTCTTCAGTTTATAGCTCTGTCTCTTGAGACAGATTCAAGAGACAAAAACGGCAGTGAGGAAAGCGCACAGAAGAACCGGTCGATCTGGGCTGGAATTCCAGCCTGGGTTTTTACTAAACAGTAACACCTTCAGCAAGAGCGGGGCAGGAGCAGCAGCAACTGTGCTTCACACAGCTCTCACAACTCTAAATTCCGGTACCTATCCACATCTGCGAGACGCAGACACAGGGTCTACTAGAGCTTCCTAGGCCCCTTCAGCAAGCCCACCAGCTTCCCCATTTAGCTAACATAATTCATCATGACTGGAGAGAAACACCAGATGCCTCAGGAGTCATTTGGACTTTGTTAACCATACAACATCTCACCTTTACCACTGTATTCACCAGGAGAAGCAACAGTTCGTGACTTTCATGCAGAAATAAAGACACAGCCAGATAACCTATAAAAATTAAGGGTGACATCTCATTACTGTCCACCAAAATTAAACTTCCCCAAGAAGTTAAATGAAGTAATATATTCTAAAAGTCTTGCATCAAAATATATCAATTACATATAAACACAAAAACAAGTTGCAAACTATGAGATTAAAAAACTGTGCTAAGGAAGATTTCAGGTATTCTTCATCCTGAAGTTTTTCAGTTATGTATTTCATAGCTGGATGTGGTGGCACAAGCTTATGAAGCCTGCACTTGGGAGGCTGAGGCAGGAAGACTGCGAGTGAGTTGAGGCTAGCCTAAGCTAGATAATGAGTTCAAGGCCTGTTTCAACTACATAGCTTGACCCTGTCCCAAAAGAAGAAAAAGAGTTAATGTATGTTACAAGATACATACCTAGTTAACACCCTGTAAAAACACTAGGAAGATGGGCCCTCTATTTCCTGTGTAAGTCTCTATATCATCACTAGAAACATTCTCTATCTTATAGTCAAACACATAAGAATTCACGGACTCAGTTATTACCGTTTAGTCAGTACTGGTCATTCTATTACAGTGTGAGCTAATACCAGTCCTCACAATGTAAATGATACACTAGGCAACAAACAACACCGTAGTTTCTCAATTTAAAGATGTACTCCTAAAAGAGTAACAGCTGTTCACCAAAGAGAAACCAGCTCCCACAACTTGGGTTTTTATATTGGTGTCCTGGGTATGGGTGACGCCTTAGCTGAATAGGTGAGACTCGGGCCACCAAACTTCATCTCTGCTGTAATTGCTTTGTGGGGTTTTCCTCCTCTCTCTCGGGCCTGATCAGAGAGAGAGAAAGAGAGAGAGAGAGAGAGAGAGAGAGAGAGAGAGAGAGAGTATGTGTGTGTGTGTGTGCGCGCGCGCGAGCACAGTGTGTAGTGCTGGGCACTAGACTCAGAGGCTCATGCCCTGGTCAGTTTTTCCCTCTCTCCAGACTGCGGGAGCTGTCACTCTGCTCCTCTGTCAGGCAGTGAGGATTATGATAGGAAGCACCTGTCTATGTAATAATTAAAGCACGGGTGGAAAAATTCCACACTTACATAATGTTTGTGAGAAGTCAAAATTTTAAAAAAGTAAAATTGCTAACAAAGACTACTTTAATATCTCAAGGAAAAAAAATGTGCGGCCTTTAGTCCAGAAGCTAAGACATGGGAGCTATCTGAGTGATCTTGGAAGAGCTGAAACTTGACTCAGAACATGGAAAGGGGACACAGGCTGCCTCAGGACATTCTTCTTAAGGAAAGGAAATCCAGACGATCACAGAGTATTTTGGGTAAAGTGGAGTCATCAAGGGAATGCTGTATGCGCGAAGTCTCGAGATCTTTACCAAGGCTCCTTCCTCCCCGCCCCAGCGGTGGGGACAGAGAAGGCTGGCCCTCCCCCCAGCTTCACACACGGAGCCACTCTGCCCTCACCGCCTCCCAACAGCTTCCCAAAAGCTGAACCTTCTTAAAACAAGATTTAAGTCCTCGACAAAGTTTTTTCTAGTAGCCTACAAAACAACCATAGAGACAAAAATTTTAAAAAGATACAGCTAGTCCTCATAGCTAACATTTGTGAAAGCAAGAACAGGTAATTTAAAGTTATTCTAGGGCTGGGGATTTAGCTCAGCAGCATAAGCAACCTACCTGCCTGGCAAGTGTGAGGTTGTGAGTTCAATCCCCAGTACCAAAAAAAAAAAAAAAAAAGTTATCCTAGTCAATTTTAGTTTTTTACCTTATAGGGAAACATTTCTGAACATTAAGCTTAAAATATGATTTATTAAGATATAATTTACAAACAAGAGAATTTACTAATTTTAAGTTTATAGTTCAATGAGCTTTGATAAATATATATCATCTAAATACCCTCTCAAGAGCAGGTGCTTTTTCATCTTCTCTGTAACTCCAAAATGCTATACTTCAGGAAAAGTAGTTTCACTGACAGGCTTTTTTTGATTTCTGAAGTTACCTTCTAAGGTTTGGAAATTACAATGCAGAGTTCTAAAAACATACTCTGTATTTGCCATCATTTACCTTTCTTTTGGGGGAGGGGGCTTGAGACAGGGTCTCCATATGCAGTCCAGAATAGCCTCAGACACCTGTCTCAGCCTCCCAAGTGCCGGGATTACAGGCTCACAATATCATGCCCAGCACCATCATTCATCTTACAAGAAGTTGCAACTTTTATGACCATACTAAAGTATGAAGTCTTAAACAGGCACAGCACATACCTACTCTTTTTTCTAAGAGATTTCCTTGTTGGGCCAGCTTGATTGCATGTATGTAGCCAAAGGAGGCATCATATCCAAGCATTTCACAATATATAAGTCTTACCATACATTCCTTCATCATTTTCTGAAAAACAAAATACCCAGTCATTATATAAACAAATAGAATGTTCTCTTTTTTTAGCATATGTTTCAATTTAACAGGAGAATCCTTTAATAAATCCTTAAATATGCCAGGAATTTTGTTCAGTGGCATAAGTACCTGCCTGGCAAACTCAAGGTCATGAGTTTGATCCCTGGCACCCAAAAAAAAAAAAAACCTTTAATAACTGAAGATAAAATATACATATTATAAATTGGCCACCCAGTAACACACTGTAAGTAAAAGTGGCTTCCAATCTTTTTTTTATTTAAAGAGAAAAAAAAAACAGAAAAAAGTGTAGAAATAATACAGAATTTCAGAAAAATAAACAGTACTCGTTGATAAGTTACATATTGTCATCTTAGAAATAGTTGTTCAAGTTACAAAATTAAACCATATAAACTGATATTCAAATAATGACACTGCAAACAGTTCTGCTCAACGATCCAACAAGAACTTAGTAATATGGATATCAGTCCTACACACTTGTTTTTTATCTTAAAGAGGTAAGATTAAACATAACAAAACAGAACAAAACAGTTCATAAGGAAACAATTTAAAGAAACACAGATTTCAAACCAAGTCCACTGGAGAGCTTCACTGTCTATCTTGTTGTCTCTAGTTTTCTTCCAAATAGTTGTCCCCATCTTCACATACATTGAATATATACTGAACATTATAGAACTAATCAAATCATTTTACAGGATGATGAAGGCTTTTTAGGTCTTCAAGACCTGATTTTGGGGAAGTCAATAATGACTACCTTAATGTCTTGCATTCTCTTCAAAGTAGCTATCTTTATCTTTACGTATGCTGAAACTGAACATAAGAGACTAGACTAACATCACTCTGAACAGTGAATGATAGTATTGCTAGATTTTACATCATAATGCTACATAATTAGCATTGGGTTTCTTCATGTTTCTTCATGTTTCATAGTTAGCATTGGGTTTCTTCATGTTTCTTTTTCTTCAGAGTATCTATTCATTACATCATGTATTATATAATCTGTTCTCGTAAATAGTTTAGAAACTCTTCCTATGTGTGAATCTCTACATATATATCTATCCTTTCTGTATTTTAGGGAAAAACAGATCAAAACAAGACAACAAAACAAATTCCTAGAAAAACATGAAATGAAAAAGACATATAAGACCACAATATTAGGTAATCTACAATAGTTACTATGCTTTCTCTTAATTGTCCACATCATCAGGCATTATATAGTTAAGCATAGCATTACATAGCTATTTTTATAAAAACACAACTTTGAAGACATTGTAGGACTTGAAAGCTGGAATGTATATCTTTTACATCTTGTCATCCTCAGAGTAGTTGTCTCTTCTCTTAGACTTAATACTATCAAGCATACCAAATTCGAATAAAATCAGTCAAGGCAAAATAGCGGTCTAACAAACCAGCTTCAAATAAAGATCTATCATAGTTAGACAATGTAAGTAATACAGGGTTTCAGTTTAAGTTAATAGGAAATTAAGGATAGTTACCGTGGTATAAGCTGTGATTTTTGGGTTAGCTGTCTGTGCCCTCAAATCTCGTATGAGTAGACAGACCAGAACAAAACATAATCAAACTAAACAGAGCGATAAGGCTACTGTGGCTTTTAAATTCTGATACACTTTTAACAATGTCCTCTGCCTTCCTTTTTTAAGCATTTGAGACCTGATTTTCCCCTTCTCAGGATGCTTTGTATATTTTGGGTCCCACTAGCTCCTATAGTTTTTAGACTAGGCAGGGGTCAACCTTTTATGTATCTGAGTGTTGCTGAACCTTTTTACCCCTGAGCTTAATCTTGAGCTGTACTCCTTTACTTACTAAAGAGTGGCTTCCAATCTTAATTACCAACAATATTAATTTTAGTAAAATTATCTAAAATGTTCTCACGGTAGTGAACATAAATCAATTGTATAAATCTAATTCTATGTGTCCACAGCATAAAATTGGTATAAAGTGAAACATGTCTTCATACAAAATTTCATCCACAATTATCTTATTTGGCATCTAAAACTTAAATGCGTCAAGTGAAATATGCCTTATTAAATCAAAACACCCATAAAATTTTTACAGATTAGCAATAATTTCTGCAATAAAAATATTTTTCACATTGAAGAATGAAATCATCTGGCCCTGAATCAAGGCCGGCAGCTTCCTGACACTACTGGTTTCCAGCAGGAGCCTAAAGAGATGTCTTTCTATGGTCTGTTGGCCATTTCAGAACTTGGGCAGTGAAATGGTCAACTGATTAGAAAGAAACAGCTTGGGGCTGGGGATTTAGCTCAGCGGCATAAGCACCTGCCTTGCAAGCAGGCAGTCGTGAGTTTGATCTCCCCGGTACCAATAAAAACGAAAAAGACAAAAAAAAAAGAAAAGAAAGAAAGAAAGAAACAGCTTGAAGCAATCCCTTCTCACCCTGGTGAGCGGCTGTGAACATGGCAGGATCCAGTGGCCCAGGACGGAAGCCACTGGCATTTACTGGGACCTTCGCCACTGAGCTGGGACCTGGAGCACTGGGAAACCAAGCAACCCTTCACCTCCTGCCTGTTTTGTTTTGTTGAACTTCAATATACATGAAAGTATGATCAGCTATTTTGAACAGAACGAGAGACTCTACCACAGCCATTAGTGACTTTCCTATTGTCTGGTTCCGAAGACCTAAAACGCCTTCATCATTCTGTTTGGATCAGTTTTATACTATGTTGTTTTGTATGAATTCTCTGTATGCAGAAGACATGGACAACTATTTGGAAGAAAACAAGAGACAATATGATAGATAGTGAAGATCTCAGGTTGTTTAGCTTTGAAATTTGTATCTCTTACATTGCTTTCTTATGTCCTATTTTGTGCTGTTATGTTGTGTTTAATTTTACCCCCTTTAAAATTAAAAAAAAGAAAAAGAATGAAATCAAAAGCCAGGCACACACCGGTAGTCCCAGTGCTCCACAGGCTGAGGCAGATGGGTCATATGAGCCCAGAATTCAAGAACAACCTGAATGGCACAGCAAGACCCCATCCCAAACAAAGGAACAAAAATAGAGAAGGAAAGGAGGACCCAGATTTTCTTCAGAAATGTTATGCTATATACATGGAACAGTCTGCTTTTCAGGTACTTTTTCTTAAATGAACTTAGGGTTGAGCTAGTTTAGCCTTCACCAGTCACAATACGTGAATTCAGGGGCATGATTTCATCAAAAGGATAGTTATTCCAGTGATATTTAACTTTTTAGTAGTGCCTTTCAATATCTTCAAGACTAACATTAAATAATATAAATTTATATTATAAATTTATAAAATTAAATAATTAATTTATATTTATAATATAAATTTATCAGTACAACAATATTTGCATTCTTAATTTTTATAGCAAATTTTGGTCGGAAGTAAAACTGCTTCAAAATAGAGAAAAGCTCAGGCTTTTAGTATCTCAAAATTAATTACCATATTACAGGATTATAGGGTTATTAAATCACAAAATGCCTACAGTATATAGTATGTAAGCATTTTGTGATTTAATCATAAGAGTAAAGTCAAACATTCTAAAGAAAGGATAGTAATGTTTAATATTGCATGTACATGTGTACATGAATGTGTGCAAATACAGAGCTTAAAAAGACCATAGGAAAATCATAGGGGAATGAGACTCAATTGAGGTCACTTGTGCTTAAACCAATAAAAGTTAATTAATTAACACATTAATTAATTCTGACTACTAAATCCTGGAGCTGGGGAGATAGCTCAAAGTATTTGGTTAGCTTTGTGCAAGGTCCTGAGTTCAATTTCTAGCCTTACAAAAAAAGACTACTAAATATCAATTAAACTATGTCCCTCTTCAACAACAACAAGCTTCTGTGTTAATTTAAGCCATTAAGTTTCAACCCTGGATTTGTAACATCTCAGAGTTCTCCAAAAGTCAGTACTAGCTTTAAGTAAAATTACCACCTATATTATCATTCTCTTAGTGTTAGAGAAAAAGTGCATTTCCCAATGTAGCAGTTCCTGTTACAATTTTTCTAACAGTTTTTCTACCCTTATACAGTCATCTTAGACAATGCTAAGAGAGACGCCCAGAGGTGGAGGGCCATGATTACTATATAACCATTTGCCCAAACCGTGGCTCCCTAACTTCTACCTGTTAATCTTAGTTCTACCCAGTGCCTGGCTCATGCCTTGTTGCAAGGAAAACTGCAGGGCTGAGGTGTAACAGTTCAGTAGCAGAGTGTTTGCCTAGCATGCAGAAGGCCCTAGTTCTCAGCACTGAAAAAAAAAAGAAGAAAAAGAATCAAGTATAAAAAATACAAATCTAACAGCAAAATACTATTTTCTGAGTATAATGGTACACACCTGTATGCCATCATTCTGACAGGATGAGTCAGAGGTGGGGTGGTCACCAGAGCCCAGCCTGGCATCTTAAAACATAAATAAGCTAAGGTATTCATTTCTCTTTGGAATTTCTATCAAATATCAAGTAGTATAAAAATGTTACACAGATACGTACAATTATATACACAAACATACATATATACACAGATGCTAGATTGATGTGTTGAGTTTTATTGGTCCACATATTATTATTACCACCATAAAAGAAAACACACACATTCTCTTAAACTTTACAAATATTATTTATGTTCCTGACCATATACTCATGCAAAATGGGGAGGGTGACACATTCCCACAGTGACACAAAATATATTAACTAAAAATACATTTATTAAATGTTGGTTGAGACAAACCTCATGTTAAAAAAAAAAAAAAAAAAAGCCAGATGGGAAGTCTCTAGATCCAACCCCCAGTACTACCAAGAAAACAAAGATATTACACATTGTTTGGATATATTGAGCTATCACATTATACCAGTAAAAATGTACAATTATTAAAAGTACAAAATAACAACAAAACCCCAGGTCTTAATCTAGCCACATGATGATGGCCTCACAGGAACCTACAAATAGTGGCTGCTTATTAACAGCTGCTCAATGAATGCTGTTCGAAAAATCAAATTCTATCTAAGCACGTTTAAAAATATGTAACTGGCTCTTGATTTAACTGCTGTGGAATCTACTCAAGTTTCAGGGCAAGAAAACAGTTCTACCTGCCAGCCAACCTACATCCCAAAAGGTATAGGATGAAATTAAAGATCTGCAATTTAGGGGTCAGGGGTGTAGCTAAGTGGTAGGCATTCAGCTCTGATTTGATTCCCAACACCCTCACTTCTCTGCAAAAAATCTATATCAATTTTGGAAAGAAGATGTGAAATGGCATACCCTAACTTTTCAGAGTATACAACATTAAAACAAGGAGATGAGTACTAGAGTCCTACAGGTGTATAGCCACATGTGCGTGATGCCGTCACCTCTGTCCTGACTACACAGTCAGCTCCGTCGTGGTCCACCCAATGACACAGACCTAAGGTGACATCTGCTACTACCTGCAACCCACTCTGACTACAAGACATGTGAGACACTGTCAGTCAGATGGTACTGTCAGCCAGTGGGCCAGATTTCACATTCAAATGTGCTGGCGTTCACAGTAAGCCTACCAGTGTCGTTGTGGGAGCAGAAACAGTCGCCTTCAGACTACTCAGTTCCTGCTGGATTAATTTCTCTTCTTCCTGAAAAAGAGAACATATTTAAATGCTTGAATAACTGTCTCTTTAAACTGTAACAGTATTTTAAAAGAGAAACATAAAATACTATTTTCAATTATAAAAGAACATTATTTGGGGGCAACCTACTCGGAACCCCTTCTGTCTCTGAGACAGAAGCTTTCTTTCTCTCAATAAATATATTCTGCTCTTTAAAAAAAAAAGAACATTATTTTGGCCAGGTGTGTGGTGCACACCTATAATCCCAGCACTCTGGAGGCTGAGGAAGAAAGATGGTTGCAAGTTTGAGACCAGTCTGGGTGACAAAAGTGAGTGGAAGGCCAGCCTGAACTGCATGGTAAAACCTTGTCTCAAGACAAAAAAAAGAAACAAAAGGACATTATTTTGAGATAGATAAGTATCACATTTTTAAGATCTGCATCTCACCAACCCTAGAGTCATCCCTAGAGAGAGTATTCCCAGGCTAACACACTTTTCCTCTTTTTATCACTCAAGTATTAGCCCCTGGAAAAACTAATCAGCAGAAAAATGCTTCTAAAAAATTCAATGTGGAAAGCAGAAAGAAATTCTCCAAGTCCTGCCAAGGATAAGTCTCACAACTTCCTCTTAGAATTAAAAAGTCTTCATGGACTAGAGAAATAAAGTAAGACACAAATGAGCACACAATTTTTTTTTTTTTTTTTGAGGCAGGGTTTTGCTACATAGTTTAGGCTGGCTTTAACTCTCTATGTAGCCCAGGCAGCCTTTGAATTTGCAATCCTCCTACCTCAGCCTCTCAAGTAGATGGGGTCACAGGCATGCCCCCCTACCCTACTCTTCCTTCTTCACTATCAAACACACCCTAATGCAGTCATTCTCAATATTTCCATTACGTTTTATCTCCTTAAACGCTTAAAAATTGGCCCCATTTTGGGCTAATATTTTGCTACCTTTTAATACACAGAATTAGCATGTGTTATGGTTTAGATCTAAATTTTGTCCCCAGCTGGACATGGTGGCACATCCATTTAATCATAGCACTTGTGAGGCTGAGGTAGGATTGCTGAGTTTGAGGCAGCCTGGGCTATACAGTGAATTCAAGGCCAGCTTGAACTATGTAGCAAGACTCAAAAAACAATGATGATGATGTCATAAATAAATACAATGTCTCCAAAGACTCACAAGGTGATTGGGTCAGGGGACTCAAGAAGCTGACTTGCTTCTAGGAGATGGAGTTTGGCCAGGAGAGGTGGGTCCCTATAACCATTCACTATGCTCTTCCAGCCTTGGTGCCGGCCAACTATAGACTAAAAACACAACCTTGAATAAACTTCGCCTCCTTGAAATTGTGGGTGTCAAGTATTGGGTCTCAGCAACTAGGAAAGTGACTAAAACAGCACTGCCACATTTGGATAGCTTCAAACTGCAATCTAAGACCAAATATATACACATTTTTTTTTCACTAGGAATTGAACATAGGGCGTCAACCATGGAGCTATAAAGCTTTTTTACTTTCTGTTTTGTTAAGGTCTCCTTAAATTGCCCCTGCTGGCCTGGAATTCTGGATCCTCCTGCCTCAGTCTCCCAAGTAGCTTGGATTACAGGAGTGTACATCTACTCTGGGCCCCAAAATAAATGTCATTTAGCATCTCATAAAATTGAGCAATGGACAGAAACATGAAGAGCAACAATATTAAGTCCACAAATAATGACTGGGAAATGTGCAACAGGCCAACCTTCTTCTGCATAGCGTCATCTTAAATCCACTTATAAAAACATTCTAACCCTTCATTATACTACTTTTTTTTTTCCTCTTGACACTACTATTGCCTTGTTGAAATGCTTATAAAAGACGGTTAATTCTTTGAGAGAAGAGAATGTATTTTCCTCAGGGTCTAACACAACCCTGCTACGTAAATATCTATTGAACAAATCATGACACACTATGTGTTTTTAAGACACCAATTCCTTGAGACTTTGAAACAGCATCTTATACAATCCGTGCAATTCCTTAAAATCTGAGGGAACTTAACTTCTAAAACAGCAATTTCAAACCCCATCTGAGGCAGACTTACTCAGCAAATTCTACACTCGAGAATTTAACTTTCTTTTTCTTTGCCCAACCTTTGGCCTAAGAACCTCCCGCTCCCCGGAGGCCCGCTGGCCGAGGTGACAGGATCTGTCCAGGTCATCCAGCCCTCGGAGGGACCCAGGGAAAGGAACTGAGCGGGACAAGAAACTGCAGGTGGGCGACGCCTGCCACTTCCGTGCACTGGGTACTGCCACACGCTTGAAGCCTCGTGTGAGTCCACAACAATGACGAAATTTGTGGCAGTCCTCGTCCTCCCGAGCGCTGGGAAACACACAGAGGGGTCAAGGAGAAAAAAAATTGCTCCAGATCAGAGCTACTCGGTGGAAACCCGGCCTTCTTTGGACTGTCCAGGCAGGAGGACGCCTCCAGCCAGACGGAAGGAAGGGAGCCCTCGCCCGGCCCAGCCCTGCCCGCCCGGCCCCGACCGCCCCGGCGCCGACCTCGCCGCCCGGCACCTACGTGCTTGGAGGTGAGCGCCGTGACGCCGCGGACCAGGCCGCCCAGCCGCGAAGAGAAGGGCGCTTTGGCCGCCGCGGGCCCGCTGCCTGGCGGGCTCTGGAGGAAGAGTCCTGGCAGCGCCGTCAGCGTCCTCTCCACGATGTCGCTCATCGCCGCCGCCCGCAAGCCCGGAGCCGCCCGGCCTCACACCCGGCAGTCGCCGCCCTCTCGGCCTCCGTAGGCGCTCGCGCGATTTGAACACGAAGTTTCCCTGTGCCCACGTGGGCGCGAGCGCAGCGCCGGCCCCGGGCCGCCCATCAGCTGAGGGAATGGCGGCCCGGCACGGGGGTCCAGGACCCTCGAGGCTCGGTCCCGCGGCTGTGGTGGCAGTGGGAGCCCACCGCAAAGGTGAGTCCTGAGCCCGCGGGCCTCTTTCTCACAGCCACGCCTGTGGAGGGCGCCCGCGAGGCCTCCTTCCAGGTCGGACAGGCACCTGTCGCCTGTCACCTGTCAGCACCCTCCGTCCTTTCCTTGCCGGCCGACCGACCGTAGTGCCCACTACATAAATACTTTTGCTTAAATATATAAATGCTTTTGCTTCCTCTCCTACCTGCCGCAGAGCCCAGTTCTATGGTTCTCAGAATGAGAGTCGGCGACTTGGTAGGGTCCCCGGGTCCCACACAGGGCATCCAGCGACAAAACTGTGAAGAATTGTACTTCAGTGTTATTTGCCGCTCACACGCCAGTAGTGCCAGCACTGTGGAATGCTGAGGCAGAAGGATCAAAAGTTTTAGACCAGGGTGGGCAACTTAGCTATTTAGCAAGACCCTGTCTCAAAATAAAAAACGAGAGGAGAAAATAAATCTGGGGGTGTAACCCAGTGCGAATGCCCTGCTTCAATCCCTGGTACTGCGTGAGGAGGTAGAAATTATTTTTCTTTTTAACTCTCATTCTCACTGGCGTGTACAGAGGAATTTTCAAGAAGTTAGATGAGACAACCAGGCGTGGTGACACACAGTCCTGTAATCTCAGTACCTGGGAGGCTGAGGCAGGAGAATCACTGCGAGTTCAAAACCAGCTGAGCCACAAAGTGAGCTCAAAGCCATCCTGAACTGCATAGCCAGACCCTGTCTCTAAAAGACAAAGAAAAGAGAAAAAAGATTAGAAAGGATATGATTGCTCTCTCAGCTGGTGAAAAGTATTTTTGTGCTTTGTAGAATTTACTTACATCTCATACTGAGAATCGTACCCACACCTTTGACTATGGTTAATAGGCAACCACTGTACACCAAGCTACATCCCCAGCCCAAGAATGCTTTGTAATTTGTTAAAAATGTTTCGAATACTAAACTTGTCCAAAACTGAGATTCTTTTAGAATTTAATATTTTATCCCCAAATAAGGTTTTGCTTATACGTTTTTTAAAATTTTAGGATCTTTTACTGTTGTATAAGGGGGAGTTTGTGATGGATTCCACCCACATGAAACTCAGGGTGGTGGCTGCCAACCTGGCTCTGGACCCTAGAGGAACAGTGTGTCTCTTCAATACTGACTTACGAGTTCTTTTTCCAAGCCTGAGATTAAACTTCCTACTTTTCATGCATGCCAGCATTCCCCCAGTCAGTTGTCAATATGTTGTTCTGCTGGTCTTTTCAAACTCCACCCCCTGTCCAACTCGATGAAGGCCTACCACTTCTTTGTCTACCTTAAAGGGATCTTGCACTCTGCTGCAGCCCTCCCGTACCTACAATAAAGGCCTTTTTTCCCTTTTCCCCCTATTTCTGCTCTTGCTTCTCTACTGCACCAATGAAAAACATAACAGCTTAAAGATTTGCTTTCTAGCTTTCTCATATCTAAAGATATTGGGAAAATGATGTTAATAACATCAGTATCAGACAATTGACACAGGAAGGGGAAGATCTGGTAAAAGTGTTACTAAGGGAAGTATGACAAAAGCTGCTTTCTTTTCTCTGAGCTTTGGAGATGTTAATCATTTTCTTGTATCTCGTTCAACAAATTTTTTATGAATATAGTACTGTTATAGTGCCACTTGAATTGAGACATCATTTTGAGACCACCAGAATTTAAAAGAAAGAAAATTTGGGCTGGGGATTTAGCTCAGTGGCATAAGCACCTGCCTTGCAAGCAGGCAGTCGTGAGTTAGATCCCTGGTACCCATAAAAAGGAAAAAGACAAAAAAAATAAAAGAAAGAAAATTCAGTATTTTAAACATAGACATGATGAGCTTTATTAAAACTCAAGCTTTTGGCTAGGGATTTAGCTCAGTGGTGTAAAGTGCCTGCCTGGCAAGCATGAGGTTGTGAATTTAATCCCCAGTACCAAAAAAAAAAAAAAAAAAAAAAGCTTTCTAGGTAGTTTTCAAAATAGAAATGAAAAACTCAGTGATATGTTAAAAGTAGATATGAAAAACTTCATGATATGCTATTGTAACACATTGTCTAGAGAAAGGCATACAATAGCTAAAAGACCAAGTGAGCTTTGGACATTACTGGATGCATCCTTACTGAATGAAAAATTGGTAAAAGAAATCATGGCAGTGGGATTTTCCAAAGATGCAGTAACTCACCAGAAATTTCTATAAACTTGCAGTAATCAAGACAGTGCAGTATTGGGTAAAGATAGACTTACACATCAAACAATTGAGAGTTCAGAAATAAACTCTTAGTGTATGACTTGTTGAACTTTTATGCAGTAGCACAGAGAGGATAATCTTTTCAACAATTGGATATTGATAACAAAAAGGGGGAAAAAAGGAACTGAACTTAGACTCTTTGTGCTACATACAAATGTTCATAGCAATATTATTCTCAGAAGGCAACTAAAGAATAGATAAGTAAAATGTGAATGTTGTCATTTGGCGCTCAGAAGGCATGAAGCACTGATACATACTGCATAGAACATGGTTGAACCTTGAAGACTCTACAGTAAATGACACCAGTCACAATTGGCAACATGTTATACGATTGCATTTGTATGAAATTACCAGAAAAGCAAATCAGTAGAGACAGAAAGCAGATCAGTAGTTGTGAGGCTGAATATGAAAAATAAAGATTGACTTCAGAGAATCTGGAGCCAATTCAAAAACTTTATTGTTCCTTGATTGATGTGTTTGGAAATTTTTTTTTCTCTTTGAAATAAAATGGATTTGAAAAAAAACTTGTGTCAGTGACAGTACAATGCTACAAATTTACTAAAAATTACAATGGTTGAAGTTCTGTGGAATATAAATATATTTTATATTTCAAAAAAACTAAGAATTAATGAATTTCAGCAGTGCATGTTCATGTTGATTGTTTACACAGCTTCCTCCACCCCTAACTGCAGGTTAGTGACCAGAAATGCAAGCAGAAATATAATTTGTTTAGGAAACAGTCAGAGAATGGTGGTGCACACCTGTACGTCTAACACTCATGAGGCTGAGGCAGGAGGATCTATATGGGTATGAGCCAGGACTACATAGTTCAAGGGCAGCCTGAACTGCATAGTGAGACTCTGTCTCAAAAAAGATAAAATAATAATAATAGTAATAGTAATGCACTGAGGAGGGTCCGTAGAGGCTGACCAGAGAGAGAAGCCATAGGAATGTCAAGAAGTTGGTCAGGAAGGCTTCCTACTGGAGAAGGAGACTTCTGGATGATGGTTAGAGAATGGTAGTGGTGGAGACTTAGGCAACTTTATTGATTTATTTTGGAGCTATTTTGAAATGCCTTGCTATAGTTCAGACTAGCCTTGAACTCACTGTGCAGCCCACTCTGGCAAGGACTGGGATTACAGTGCCACACACTCCAGGTTGATTCCCCAGTTCCCACAGAGAACACAATCCCACACTCGTGCCCAAGAGGGCACCAGAGAGCCAAGACCCGGAGGTGACTGCAGACATTCCCAGCTCCGGCTGTAAATTCATTCCAAATCTGACCCATGTCCTTTCCAAACCAGGACACTCCATTTCCTTTTATTTTCTTTCTGGAGAGTGGGAGGAGAGAATTTACTTGATCTGAAAGTGTAGCGGGGAGAGCCAAGGGCTGCTCCCCACAGGAGAGGTGGCCAAAAGAAACACCCTAGAAGAGGGTTTCCAGGATGACACGGGCTATTTTCTTCCTCTCCCACAGTGACTCAGATTCACATTTCACACAGCCCTTTTTCTGTGTTTTCTGCCCCCTCCCCTGACCTCTGGCCGGCAGAGTGCGTTTGCAATGTTTTCCCAACCCCAGTCCCAGGCCTAGATCAGCCAGGTCAAAACATCAACTGGCAGAGCTCCCAGGGTCAGCTTGGGGGGGGGGGGTGTCAGTTCCAACTCCAACAAAACCTTTGCAATGCAAATCCCTATTCCTCCCAGAGTCCTCCCAGCCCATCCCTGTCTAATCTATTTCAAGCCACAGACTGTGAAATAAAACTGCTCCATACCATGTATTTAGATAGCCTGGTTTGAGCTGCTTATAAGATTTCTTTTCCCTAAGGAGCTTAATAAATTGAGGCAAACACAGAGCCCTTTGGGCAGAATTTTCCCACGTGCACTCATCTTAAAACTTCAATTCCCAGGAAATCTGTGTGAGGACTTTTCTCCTCCTAGTCTACCAGGTCAGGATAAAAAAAGGAGATAAACTCCAGAAAGGATATCAGGGACCTTCCCAGAAGAAAAAGAGGTACTTAGCATTTGATTAGGCCCTGACCCAGAGTGGCTGTAGAAGGGATCAGAAGTAAAACAAACAAAAGTAATGTTCCAATCAGGGTGGTGGGGCATATCTGTAATCCCAGTGCTCTGAGATAAATTTGAGCTCAGCCTGGGCAACCTGCAATTTGGCAAAAACCTTGTCTCAAAAATAAATATAAGCCAGGGGATATAACTGTGTGCAAAGACCGTAAATTCAGTCCCTGGTAACATACATGCACACACACATGCACACAGAACATTAGATAAAGGTGATAATATCATTGGGAAATTGGTCCCTTGTTCCTTGATCCTTTTACATCCTCAAAATAGTTCAGTGAAGACACATAGAAGTATAGATAGACTTTACTGTATAATGGATAAACTGGGTGTGGTGGCAAACACCTATAATCCTAGCACTTGAGGCTGAGTCAGGAGGCTTGCTGTGAATTTGAGACCAGCATAAACTACATTGTGAGTTAAGACCAGCCTGCACTACATAACAAGACCTTGTCTCAAAAATAAAAAATCAATATATTCTATAATGGACTTAGAGAGAAGGTAGGCAGTGTCACAAAGATGTCTAGACCGAGTGCGAGTTTAGGTATGTTTTTATGCACATTCAGAGTTACTCCTTGGGTTTAGAAAACTATGGTGATGGTCAGTGTTCTATTTGCATGATGTATGTGCTTATTGACATTTCTCTTATAGGTCACTTTGGAGGGTCATTATCTCAGAAGCATGTACTTTGTTCCTTTATGGTGGTCAGTGTTTCCTTTGGGCCCTTAATCATAGAGGAATCCACATCAGGTCTCAACCCAAAGAGGGAGGGTCTTCAAAGAGTGCTCCTCTTCCTGCTGTCATTGGATACAGGCCTTGGTGCTCAGGAAGGCTACCTGCCTACCTTTGGAAATAGCCAGCCAGGTGGCCAGGTGTCAGAAAGAATGTGCACAATAAGTGACCTTGACCTGTCATTGTGCTCTATGCAGCCACTTTAGGTCTGAGACCAAACAAATGGTTATGAATGAATTCTGCATTGAAGTCTCTATTTCTTTACTTAACTATCACTGGCGGAGCACAGTATTATAGACCTCCATCCTCGGCCCTCAGCCCCACGATTGTCTAAATACATTCCCACCAACAGTATGCACTGGGGAACCCCGAGGCCACTACTGAGAATCATCAAGTCTTCAGAAATGACAGAGCCTGTATCCAAGGTCAGCAGTAGTTCTTACACACTGCTTGGAGCCTCGGTGTTGAAGGAAACGTTTCTTTCTCCCTCCCTCCCTTCCTCTCTCCCTTTCTCCCTCTCTCTCTTCCTCCCTGTCTCCTTCTCTGGTCTATAAAATAGAAGATTAACAAGATTTCTGAAGTGAACATTTAGCCTTCCCACTACTTCCTCACCTTATTTCTCCCCACCCTGAAAGAGACAGTCATGATCACCAATTCAGGATCTATTCTGCCTGCGCACGGAACCAGCCAGCATTCAGGAGAGAAAGGTGAGTGGCAGGAAAATCAGGTTTTATTAACATAAGCTAACTGATAAGGGAAAATGGCCCAACTCCAGTCCAAGTGGACGTTTCACAAGAGCACAAGGGCAGAAAGGCTGTGCCAGGTTGTGCGTCCTCCAGGGCTGTTCCTCTTGGTGCTGCTCTCCTTTATACACCAAAGTGATCTCCAGGCAAGGGAAGCATTCTTAGTCTTTTACTTAGACAACGGGACTTGCAGATCTTGGCCCACACTATGATCTCATTGGAAGCCCACCAGATGTTCTGGGTTCTGAAAAACTAAAGGCTGCTAATCAGGAGGACTGGGAACCAATATTTTTCCTTTAGTTCCCTTTTCTTGGAATAGTTGACTCTGGGAGTTAATATTTCAGCCATTTCAAATGTTGTTTTCTTTCTTTTATTAGTTCCAGTGCTGGGCAAAGAAAAAGAATGACTTTAGAAGATGCAGTTTTGCAAGGTGAAGCTAGTTTTGAATAGGGTGCTGGAAAGCAAATCAGCACAGCCATTGGTATCCCCTCATCTCCTCATTCTGCACCCACCCCACCTGCAGAGAACCCACACCCCTCTGCTTCCCAAGAGGCCTGAGTCCAGTGTTAAGAAGTCTGGCAACGAGGCTCAATCTGTGGCCTCCCATCAAAGCCCAAACTTTGGTGTTAATTTCTTAGTAGGCTTTGAATCGTTATCTATTCACTCGCTCATTTATTTATTCAAGGTCTCACTATGTAGCGCATGGCACGGTGCTCTTTCTCTCTCACTTCCCCTGAGTGCTGGGATTGCAGCAGGCATGTGCCACTACACCAGACTTGAGGCAGGAGATTAGGGTGTGGCCAACTGGCTAAGCAAGTGGGTGTAACCTGTCAATCACAGAAATCTGCAACACATGCAGATGTGGGGCTAGATGTGGGGCTAGTTCCCCAGCCCCACATCTAGCACCAATCAGAAAGTACCATCTTCAGTTCATGCTGGTAGGCACTGCATCACTGAGCTAAATCCCTGGCCCCTTCTTCAGTTCTGGCACAAAAGCAAGCAGGTTTTTGATAGGATGGCCTAGATCTGATGTAGCCTGAAGAGTGAAGGATACAAAAGACTTCCAGAATTAACCTCATAACCTCTTGACCTGCTCTCATCTACAGAATGTACTTCGTTTCCTACCTTTAATAACCGTAAAACCTCATTACCGTTTTCATGTGTCTTGTCCAATTCCTTGTTCAGGACACCAACGACCTGGAAAGTGTCTACTGAACTCCAGAATCTGGTAACAGGTTCTAGAGGTTCAAGAATTTAGAATGGCCAAGGATTTAGCTCAGTGACCTAAGCAGCTGCCTGGCAAGTGCAAGGTTGTGAGTTTGATCCCTGATACCAAAAAGAAAAAGAAAAAAGAATTTAGAAGGGCCAGAGATTTAGCTCAGCAGGCATAAGTGCAGGCCTGCCTGGCAAGCACAAGGTTGTGAATTCAATCCCCAGTAAAAAAAAACAAAGAAAACTTAGAAGGGCTAAGGACTTTATTTCTTGGTCTCTTCAAGGCTCCAAACTAAGACTTGAAATAGCTCTGACATAGCAAAATTTGAAAACCATTGAGGACACAAGGAAATTCTCTCAGGAGGCTGAATTCACTGAACACCTCCAGGCGAGGGCCGAGCCTCTCTGGCAAAGACAGACAGCACCTATCCTACAGAGAATGACGTGGTGCCCAGAGGACACACATGAAATGCAAGGAGGAAGAGCCTGCTTCCCTGGAGCCAGGAATGGGGACCAGAAGAGAGTTAAAGTCCCAGCTCTTAAAAGATTCTCAGCCAGGGGCTGGGGATTTAGTTCAGCAGCATAAGCAACTGCCTGGCATGCACAAAGTCATGAGTTCAAGCCCTGATACCAAAAAAAAAAAAAAAAAAAAAAAAAAAAAAAAAAAAAAAAGATTATCAGCCTTTATGTAGATAGAATAGAAAGAAAAAAAAAGATAGGTAAATGGAAACAAGAAAATCAGAACTGAAAATTGTATCTTTAAGAAGACTGTAATTTTTGAGAGCCAGCTGACATCTGCATTGGTTAAATTTAGGCTACCCCATTCCTGACCAGCAGACCCCAAGCTCCCCAGGAATACTGAAAGCTCAAACATTGGCTTCATGGACAAAGTCAAGAGCAGGAACCCAATCCTGAGATAAAGGGACAGATTGAGAGTCCACAGAATGTTTTGGTCATCTGTCTTGATAGATAAACCTGTCCTTGCAGCAGGCCAGTGCCTGTCTGGCTGGGCCACATTTCCCCAGGGTTTCCACCACTCAGGAGAAGCAGGAATGGTCCCAGTTCCAGAACACAGGCGCCTCTCTCCTGCAGGGCCTGCTCTCTACCTCTCTGACTGAGAACCTTTTCACTTCTGCCTGATAAACCCTTCCCATGCTGGTTACTGAGGAATCCTGGAAATTCTATTTCCCCTAAGAGAGTCAGAGAAGCTGTGTGGATGCCTTAGGTCCCTTATCTCACCTTCAGGGATTCCTAGGACCCTGTGTGGTGACATTTACCATTTTGAGCCTTGGTTTCCTTATTTGTAAATAAACAAGATTCCTATCTACCTTTGAGTACTGTGAGATTGCAGGCAAATGATCTTATTTTACACTGAATGTTAGAGCAGTAGAAACAACATAATATGAAAATGGAGAGAGATTATGGTTTGGTTTGGTTTCGCTCTAGCAATGGGGATTGAATCCCAGACTACACATCCCCAGCCCTTTAAAAAAATTATTTTTTAAATTTTGAGACAACACCTGACTAAATTGCTAAATTACCCAGGCTGGACTTGAATTTTTGGCTCTCCTGCCTCAGCCTCCTGGAGTGCTGGGATCACAGGTGTGTGCCAGCACAGCTGGTGGAAGTGGGCACCAACAGACACTGTGGGGTGGAGGTGCTGTATTGCGTTTACTCCTCCTGATCTACTCTCCACGCCATTGAATTTTCCCCAGCCATCAGTGGCCCCTTACCTTCTTGCCCTGGGTGAATTAATCAGTGCAGTCTGAACAGTACAGAATAGTACAGAGGAGACAGGGCTGATGGGACAGGTTCCCCAGTGCCCTCCCTGCAGGGGCTTCTGACTCTGTGGGGCTCACAACTTCTATCCCACTGCACCCCCTCACCAACAGCACAGCCACCCAGGGAGCTCAGAGACCGAGGGAAGGCTAAGTCATCCGGGTGATTCTCACACACACCAAAGACTGAGAGTCAAAGTCTTGAGGAGCTATGCATCTTCTTTTGTCCTGAGACTAACCCAGGATGGTGCCCAGTCCCCCGTGGCCACTCCAAAATGCTGTTTACCTTCCCTTTGTAAATCATGTTTTTATTACAACTTCCTCAAGTTACTCACTATGACTTTGCTGTCATTTCCTGCAGCATTCTGAGGCTGTACGAGGGACTTCTTTGGATCTCAAAATAGACAAGTGACTGTTTTGTGTTTTGGTAGGAAAGAGGCAGCCCACTGACTGAGCAAGGTGGGACAAACTCAAACAAGGCGACCTACTTGGACACAGTGGTGGACTCAAACTCCCCAAATGCTGGAGGCACAAGCTCCCAGGGAGTCCCTGAAGATGTCACATCCTTAGGAGACAGATGGCTAAACCTAAGGTTGTGCATGGGCTCAGGCCATCATGTTGGTTTCTGGACAGGGCTTTAGGTAAAAGTAGAAAACTGCTAAAATACGCTGCTATTCACAAAAGGAAGCTGCTGTTCTTTTCTTTCTTTGTTTAAGGCCAAGCCCGTGGTGAACGAGACTTATTCTTGGTTTCACCCACTGTAGAAGTTGTGTGGACGTCAACATAACCTCCTAACAGCTCAGAGGTAAACAAAGTCGGGGCCGCTCTGATGGAGTCTGCAATCACAGGCTGCACTGGGTGTTGTTTCCTTCCATTTCTGGTCAGAAGGACTCTCCTTGTTTTTATGGCAGAAATACCAGGAGTGATCTAGAAAGCATGGTGAGTGTTTAAGTTAAAAACTTTATTATACTAAAAGACTCATTGCCATTAATTCCCCTCAAAACCCTCCCTCTCAGTTGGAGCACACTTACTATTCTCACCATTTGTTTCTTCTCTCTCTCTCTCTCTCTCTCTCTCTCTCTCTCTCTCTCTGTCTCTCTCTCTCTCTCTCTCTCTCTGTCTCTCTCTCTCTCTCTCTCTCTCTCTCTCTCTCTCTCTCTCTCTCTCTCTCTCTCTCTCTCTCTGTCTCCTTCCCTCCCTGAGACAGGGTCTTGAAATGTTCAGTTCAGGCTGGCTTGAATCCTCTATGTACAGCACTCCTCCTGCCTCAGCCTCCCATGTGCCTGAATTACAGGGATGCACTACCATGCCAGAACTCACCACTTTCTGAAGCAGATCAGGAAGTCCTCTTTCATGAGTATGTTTACAAGGTGTGATCAAAATTACAGTGAATGTGGAGAGAGTAAAAAAAAACTACAGTGAAAGCTGATGCCAGTGACATCTAATGCAAAGGTGGACTCATAAAAACATGGTGCTATGTCCTCATCCACTTTGTTCACCAGATCTGGCTCTGTGCAACTTCTAGATGTTCCCTATAGTCAAAATGACCAAAAAAGGAAAAAATATTTTGAGTCGATTTGGGACATTAAGGCAATCATGACCATGTAACTAAAGACACTCACAAAAGAGGACTTCCAGACTTGCTTCGGAAAATGGCAAACGTGATGGGATCAGTATGTTTAAAGCAAAAGGGTGTGTTTTGAAGGGGATTTATGGCAGTGTCTTTTGCTGTAACACATTTTTTAAAGTTTAACCATTCACCATATTTTGGATCACAGCTTGTGGTTCAGAGAGGTTGGGATGGCACCAGGAGGAGAGAGTGAGTGAGGAGCTTGTGCCAGCAAGTCTTGTCCTTTGGAAACGTTGAGTCTGGAACCAGGGTAAGAAAAGGGTGGGGCATTTGGGCCAGAACACTAGCCCACGTTTTCCTCCCAGTTGCAGATTGAGTTCATTTCCTTTGCCTTCAGATGAAAAAACCAGTTCTCAAAGTATTAGATCTTCTTTCTACCTAATGGTTTGTGAACTTAACCGTTACAAGCTGGGCCCTAAGAAATGGTGAGGCAGAGTAAGCTCATCATCCAGTTTGCTCTTTCATGTACTTCTTCTTCTTCTTCTTCTTCTTCTTCTTCTTCTTCTTTTTTGTGTCTTTTTTCTTTTTATTGGTACCGGGGATCGAACTCACGATTGCCTGCTTGCAAGGCAGGCGCTTATGCCACTGAGCTAAATCCCCAGCCCCTCATGTACTTCTTCAAAGCACTGCCTCTGCCCACCACACCAGGAAACCTGGTGTTCTCAGGCGGTAGCTGGTCTACACCCCATTCCTGGAACAGCCTCCCCTCTCAGAGCATTTCCAGAACCCTCTCAGAACTTTTTTTTTTTTTTCCTCTTTTTGAGCCAGGGTCTCACTATGCAGTTCAGGCTGGCCTTGAGCTCACTTTGTACCCAGGCTGGTCTTAAACATGCAGCGACTGTCCTGCATCAGCCTCCTAAGTGCTGGGGTTACAGATGCACACCACCATGCCCAGCACCTACTCAGAATTTAAACAGAGAGGTTCCTGTCCCCTGGGTCTGGTTAGTCTCAGGATTACCTATCTAGTGCAACAGGCAAGAGCTTGATGCTGGCAGCCGTCTTACGTAGGGCATTTCAGAGCAGCAGGTCTTGCCACTGAGTAGCTGGTTGTAACCCGGGAAAGCTACAGAGAAAATACTAACAATCATAGATCTGAGGGAGAAAAAGGGATCAGTGATTGAATATATATTGTAACTGCTCACCCACTGAGATACAATCGTCTTTTACAGTATTTCATTTTTTTAAAATTTTATTTGGAAAGTGGTAAAATACAACAGAACAAGACAGAATAAAGGCAACTAAGATTGTACAGTGAAATTGGTACAGAACTTCACAGCAGGTTACCAGAATAAAAGTAATAGGTATCAGAGTATATTTCATTATCTTTATAATAGTTGTTCTTTCAATCACGTATATCAAAATAAAATGAAATATAGAACATTATAGAACTTATCAAAACAGAATATTGAATAGAGCAGTACCATTAATCAGAATAGAGCAAAACAGTAATAAAAATATTTGCCTTCAAAGAGATGGTAGAAGGAAATCCCCCTTATTCGCTATGGTCAACCTCTCAGGAGATGCTCAGATTTCTGGTTCCCATTTGCTAACAGGGGGGACAGGAGAAAGGGGGGTAGGGGAAGTGGGATGTTTGACTCTTGGCCATGCACCAGTAGGCTTACTATTGCTTAGCAGGGAGGCAGGCTGGTTGCTTGGTTTCCAAGCTTCGTAAGTTCCAACATGGTGTGGATCTCAGAAGACACTGGTGGTTCTCCCCCTGGAGGGGCCGTAGTCTGCCACACTGCAGCCACTTACCAGGGAGGGGAGCTGCTTGCTTGACTTCCCAGTGTCCTGAGTTCCAACATGGCTCAAATCTCAGGAGCCGCTGGTGGTTCTCCCCCTGGAAGGGCCGCAGTCTAGTATTTCATTTTCTACTGAAAATAATTCCTACTACTTATTGCCCGTGTCCATGGGCTTGGCATGTACCTTATCTTTAATCCTGAAAGTAATCCAGCAAGGTAGTTAGTATGTGAGTCCCATTTTACCAATGCAGAAATTGAGACTAAATAGGACATAACTAACCCAAGGCAGTGACAGAGACAGGGTTCACATCCCATCCTGGTGGGTCCTAAACATGGTGCTGTTCCACTTTGCTGTGACTTTCTGAGTGCCTGTTCTTATCTTATCATGGAAATACCAAAAACTGTCTTTCTCTAAGTGCCACTTCCCTAACACCTCCACATTGTCCCACAAGAGAACCAGTAAAATCCACCTTTTACACTCCTTCAGATATTTAAAGATGTAGAAACTACTTTGACCACTGTGAAATCTTTCAGCTTCTCCTCCTATGAAGATGTAAAATCTCTTAACTGCCATGGGGGTTCCTGAAGTGATCACCCACTCAAAACAAGAGTGTTAAAACCCTTAGCAGCCGAAGCGGTCCTGACTCACATGTACTGAGTGGTCAGAAGATAACACAGAAACTCGGACCAAAACTGCGGAGAGGAAAGCAAACTCTATGTAAGACCCTCTTGTCCCTCTCTAGAAGGCAGGCTGCAGCCTCCTCATTGTCCCTGAAGGCCTTCTGTGAGGCCAGAGGCAGGGCTGCTGTGGCCCTGCACCTTTGAACACATCACTGCAGACACGACACAGGTGCTCCTGCAAGACCCACCAGGCCAGCTAACCAGGAAAGGACATTCCTGAGATCATGGCATCGCTGCCTGGCCCTCTGCCCACATTTGCAGACCCTTGTGGTCTGACCAGCCTCTCGCCTGTCTCTCTCAGCAACACCTAAGCTGCACGCACTCTGATCTCCACAAGCATCATTGGCCCCCCATATGTCTCCTGCAATAATAATCCCCCCTCAAAATACAGCAAAAGACACTGAAAATACACATACAGAAAAAATGCAGCCTACGCTCAAATTTGTATTCCTCCTGCCTCAGGCTCCCAGAGTGCTGGAATTACAGATGTACCCACCCAGCTAGTTACCTCATTCTTAAAGTAAAGGAATTGAACTGTTGATGTCTCAGGTTTTGCCTATGTTAGCTTCTCTGATTTGTGATAGATTTGTGTCTAACAAGCCTCTTCAGTGAACTATTCAAGGGCTCAACTAACAAAAGCCACAGTGATTTTTTTAATGTCTGTGCGATCCAGTTTATGTGATTTCATCTTACTTGCTCCTAAGCCTGTAAGGTGCTGTGAGCACTTGAGGCTCTGTGTGAGACATGCTTGCATAAGGAGAGCTAGCGCCCAGCAAAGGACTCCCTCCTCCTTCCAGGTGAGCGCAGACAGGTGAGGGGTCAGGCTGCGGCCAGCTATGGGCAGCTGCAGTTCCCAGCCTGGTCACTAGAGGGCTGTGCGGCCGCATCTGGAGCAGCCAGAGGAGGAAGACAACAGAGAACCAAAGCCAGGATCGTGCCCAGGGAGCTGTGAGCTATGAGCCACCCTGGGCTTTCCCTGGGGGCTTTCCAGATATCAGCTAGTGAGGAGGCTCTGACTAGCAGACTTTAAAAAAGTGACCAGTGATTCTATCTTCTCTGACTTTCACTTCTCGTGGGGGCTTGGTAATGCCCTGGGGCTAACAATAAAGATGATACTGTATTCCTGGACCAGTTAAAGTGGTGACCCTGATATTTGATCCTTCATCTTGTGACTTTTTCATCTCATTCCTCTCTTCCTTCGCCCTCACCCATCACAAGTCAATTTTTTGATGGGCTCATTATTGAAGCACATTGACTTAAAATGTAAACTTGGCCAGGCATGGTGGCCCAGGAGGGTCACCACTGTTTGAGGCCATCCTGGGTTCCATAGTGAGTTCAAGGCCAGCCTGAACTACACTCAAACTAAAGAAGTAAATTTAAGAGGATGTTTACAGGCAGGTCAGTAGCTCTCCAGTTTTAAAGAACACTGAACTCACTGTTGTATGAAAGAAAATACAGTCTAAATATTTCAAGAATAGGGGGCTGGGGATTTAGCTCAGCGGCATAAGCGCCTGCCTTGCAAGCAGGCAGTCGTGAGTTCAATCCCCGGTACTGATAAAAAAGAAAAAGACCAAAAATAAATAAATAAATAAATATTTCAAGAATAGTTAGAAACTTCATTATCAGATCTAACCAGATCAAGATCATACAAATATGAATCTGTCCCTGACAAATGTGGCTAACATAATAATGTTGGTGTACATATCTCCAGATAGTCTTCCTAAGGGTATATATGAACATTTTAAAAATAATCTTGAAAACTTTATTATAAAAAGGATTTGATTAAACCATGACTCCTCAGAGTTAACCTCCCTCTACTTCTTCAGAGACCAGGAATTTTAGTAAAGTGTATTTAGCCCTCTTTCCAAACCCTCCAGTGTTACTGACACTTCTGCCATGAAGATATTCTTAGTACTTGACACCTTGTTCTAGTATCACTGCTGCTCTTGGTTTCCAGCCCTGTTTATTTCAGGTGGGATTAGCACACTTCACTGTTCTATCGGTTATCTTCACAGAAGCTCAGTGACACCTCTGTTAGGTTCATTCTTTGGAGCTCATAGTGCCCTTGTAGAATAAAAACAAAAAAGCAGAGAATAAGTAAATAAGTGTTCTGGAGATAACAAAGAACCATTTTAACCACCTGTTACCATCATGTAGGATAAAATGAAACAGGAAGCATGAAGGCACTTTGAAAATACAAATATGCCAGCAGGGCATGGTGGCTCACGCCTATAATCCCAGCACTCGGGAGGCTGAAGCAGGAGGATCATTGCGAGTTCGAGACCAGCCTGCTCTACAAAGTGAACTCAAGACCAGCCTGGACTGTATAGTGAGACCCTGTCTCAAAAAGACAAAAAAGAAAGAAAGAAAATACAAATATGCCATGCAAATATAAATGAATATGACTGTGGATAGAAATCAGGAACTGCTCATCTTAGTTACTTTTCTTGTTGCTGAAACAAAATACCCAATACCCAAAGTTAAAGGGGGAGAGTTTGTGTAGCTCACAGTTTGTAGCAGTTTCGGTTCATCATCGGCTGGCTGTCGGGCAGGATGGAATGGCAGAATGGCACTGCAGAGGAGAAACAGCCCACAGCAGGGAGAAGGCAGCAAAGCAAGGAAGGAGGCAACCACAGCTCTTTCTGTCCCTCATGTCTTAGCCAGGTTGTTTAGCACAGGCTGCACCCTTAATCTGAGGGCCCTTGATCCTAGCATTGTACCGGGAATCAGTCCCAGGGTCTCATACACTAGCTCCAGCCGTCTCTGAAGAAGCCCCCCTATGACTGCATGAGGCTTTGGGGGACATCCAAACTCAAGCTGTAGGGCGCCAAAATAGTGATTTATTCAGAATTACCAACTACTTGGAGTTAACTATTTGAGGAACAAGTGCAAAGAAACACGATGGTGTCGCGTCTTAAACTTGCTAAGTACTTTTTACATTATTTGTACGTGTTCTGGCTGCTATCGTGACTCTTAACATGCGTCGGTGACACAGCCACAGCAGAGTACACATTCCCAGGGGCCTAAAAGTATCAGGGCCATCAATCAGCACCCAGTCTTAAAAGTGGCTGCTTTGACAAGACGGAGCCAGTGTAACATGGCTTCGCTATTTGCTCAGCTATAAAGTTGGCTATTAACTAAGTAGTTAATTGGACCTTCCTGCTGTGGAAACACAGGAGCACTTAGTCCTGCAGGCTGGAAAACACGCTGTTCCTCGGGGACTTTAAAGCCTGGCGATAACTGAGCAATGACTAAACACAGCCTTCTTATGTCAGATTTTCAGAGGCACTGAGCACGGGAGCTACTGATGCAGAGCTATCTTTGAGCCTCAGCTCTCTGCGTGACTTTGATCGTGTATTGTAGTCTCTATGAGCCTCAGTTTCCCGTCCATACAGTGAGGGTAACAGTGTCTGTCCTCTTTTACTTCATGGAAGTACAAGGATTGCCAGGTAAGGTGGAGCATGTCTGTAATCCCAGCACTCAGGAGGCTGAAGCAGAAGAATCACCCCAAGTTCAAGGCCATCCTTGGCTACACAATGAGTTCAAAGTCAGCCTGACATGCATAGTGAGACCCTATCTCACAAAACAAGGATTAAATTAGATCATAGACAGGGAAGAGCTTTAGAGAGTTAAGTACTACAGAGATATTAGTTACAAAACCAACCACAGCTATCACATTTTATCAAAAAGGAAACTGAGGCACCAAGATAGTGAATAATTTGGCTAAGGACCAATTGTAGCTACCCTAAATCTAGAATATGGATACCTATGGCCTCTTTTCTTCTCAGTATATTAATCAATACTTTTTGACATTTTCAACTTGTACGTATGAACTAAGTTCTCTATCCATGACTCATTTACATACCATTTATTACCCAGCCATAAAAAGCCATTAAAATTTAACTTCAAGTTTGTTAGAGGCTAAAGTTAATTACTGTGCATGTGCAGATGAATTACCGAACTTCCAACTGTAGCTGGGCCGGTCCCTGAAGGAAAAAAGTTTTGTTTCTATTTGCATGTCAGTGCTTGGCAAAAACTTGTGTATTTATAAAGTAGTCACATGAGATAATCTAAACCCTAAATCTAGTTACTGGGAAGAATCTTGTATGAGAGCCAAAACCATCACTGTACTTTCAGTCTTCCTAAAATAACCTTCTTACCTTCAATCTGCCATATATATGTCAAGCCTGTAATTTAACTATTAACATAAAAAGGACCATTGTGGCTTTAAAGATATCTTATTGTAATATCATTAACAGAGCCATTTATCAATGATTTATCTGAAAACCACATCCAAAGGCACATTTTTGATTGTTTTAAATAAGACTTTTTTGAGTTTTTCCATATCACCTATGTTAGATTTGGACTAAGTAATACCTAAATTTGGTTCTAAGTTCCTATAAATTGGAATTCAGAATTTTTAGGCATAATTGTTGTTTCCAGCTATAGTCACATGGGGATTGCAGGCTAGTTTCCCTTCTAAAGGGAAGCTAGGCACATGTGCAACCTTGCAGCCTTATTACAGAGCTCCTCTCAAAGTCTTTGGGTTTATACAGTGGTCCATGGTGCAGCATACACAGACTTTGTGTCTGAAGATCTGTCTCATGTCCGGGCTGGTGGAAGCCTCTGAATCTCAGTTTTCTGACCTTATAAATGGGGTTGTTCCACAGGAAACCCAGACTTCGCTCTAAGATTAAAGGAACCACAGGCAGCAAGGGATTCAAGGAATCTTAAAAAGCTACTGTTGCAAAGCCAGAGAATTTTTCAGTGTAGAGAGAAGTAAAGCTTTGACTATTTTTTATAGCCTCCTTTTTCTGGAGAAATGGTCAATTAGTATCATTTACAAAAAAGAGAAACAAGCAGCTCCCTGCCTCATGCAGAGCACACTGAGAAAACCCAGATGCGGGAATCTGCAGTGGAGAAGCTGCTCGGTGTCCTTGGTAACAGTTACCGGGAGGCTCTGACAGTTCTCAGCAAGGCAGGCTGTCTTTTCTCTCCACTTGTGTCTAAAGGCAAGAACCCCACTTTGCTTGTGCCTGGGGAAACTGTACCTTCTGCCCCCAAAAGGTAAGATCAGAGATCAGAAACCTCGGGCCAAGGCCCAGCAGGTGGCAGGTGCTCAAAGACTGTGGTCATGTGAGCCCCAGGCCTGGCTCTTTCCCCTCTTCACACTCACTTCCTCAAGAATCTATGAGCTTCCGCCTCCTTTCTCTGACATTGCCAAAAACAAGCCACAAGAAGGCTAACAGCTAGAATGTCCCTATGCTGGCAGAAGTGGTTGAGATGAATTTCTTTTTTTTTTTTTTTTGTCTTTTTTTGAGACAGGGACTTGCTATGCAGTTCAGGCTGGCCTTGAACTCCTTTTGTAACCTAAGCTGCTGAACTTGCAACAATCTTCCTGCCTCAGCCTCCCGCGTGCTAGGATTACAGGCATGCACCACCACATCTGGCTGAGATAACATCTTGAGCTGTATTTCAACACCAAAAAATTTCTTATTTCCAAACTTTTAAATCACTTTAAACATTCTATTTCAATGCTTCTCAGTCCAGCTGCTTTCCTTCATTCTAATAACTGTGAATGGAGGGGTTCATATTTTAGTACGTGAAAGTGCGTGGGCATTCTGCAAGTGATTTGGAGTGGGAAGGAGCTCCCCTCCCAGAAAGATTGAAGGGAGTGGGGACTGTGGTGCAGTACAGGTGGACCGGACAAGAGCCCTTACTGGGGTTTGACTCGATTCTCCAAGGCACCTCCATTTGGTCACGTTCTCGTGAATCCGTCTGACTCCTTATCACCTCATTGTCTTAGTGCTGGCTACTGCAATGGAGTGCCACAGACTGGTAGATTAAACAAAAAGCACTTACTGCTAATACTTGTGTTGACTGGAAAGTCCAACATCGAGGTGCTAGAAGATTCCATGTCTGGTGAGAGCCTGCTTCCTAGTTAAATCCACTTTTTACTGTGTCCTCACAAGGCAGAAAAAGGGCTAGAGGACTCACTGAGAACTCCTTTACACAAGAATAATCCCTTCCCACAACCTGGTCTCCTCCAAAGCCCCCCCCCCCAAAAAAAACCCATCACATTGAGCAGCTAAGACTTTGACAAAGAGCGGAGGGCAACACACTCCAGCCCCTTTCTGCAGGAGTCAGTGCACCCTAAAGGAACAGAACCTTACCTCTTCCCCTTGGAAGGTGTGCTTCCCAGGAAGGCAAAGATTAAAGCAGTTTAGATTGCTGCAGACACCCATCCATCAGAGGGAAGTTCAAAGGCAGGAACTACTGAAAACAGCTTCAGTAATTTCTTTTCATGGACTTGTTATATTTAGAGAAAATAGAGTTTTCCAAGCAACCAGCCTGCTTCCCTGCTAAGCAATAACGAGCCTATGGTGCACTGAAAGTCAAACATCTCACTTACTACCGCCCTTCCCCTGCCCTCCGTTAGCAAATGGGAACCAGAGATCTGAGCATCTCTTGGGAGGTTGACCATAGCAAATAAAGGGGGATTTCCTTCTACCATCTCTTTGAGAGCAAATATTTTTATTACTGTTATGCTTTATTCTGATTAATGGTACTGTTTATTCAATACTCTGTTTTGATAAGTTCTATAATATTCTGTATTTCATTTTATTTTGATATGCATGATTGAAAGAACAACTATTGTGAAGATAATGAGATATACTGTGATACCTATTACTTTTTTTTTTTTTTTTGTCTTTTTCCTTTTTATCGATACCAGGGATCGAACTCATGACTGCCTGCTTGCAAGGCAGGTGCTTATGCCGCTGAGCTAAATCCCCAGCCCCTTGTGATACCTATTACTGTTATCCCGGTAACCTGCTGTGAAGTTCTGTACCAATTTCATTACACTGTCTCAGTTGGCTTTGTTCTGTCTTGTTCTGTTGTATTTTACTACCTTCAAAATAAAGAAGAAAAAGAAAATAGAGTTTTGCAAAGTAAATTGAACTCATGCATTCATTCAACAAATATTTATTGAGGGCCAGTTTTAAGGCCTCTACTATTTCAGGTACTAGGGATACAGGTCATGAAGAAGACAAGGTCTCAGCCTTCCCAGCAGTTACATTCCCATGGAGATAAGGAGATGATAACAAATAGGTACATATACAGGAAGTCGGGTAGTGACAGGAGCAATGACAGAAAATAAAACAAGGTGAAGAAGGTATAGAGTATCATTATGGATGAGGAAGGGGTGATTTCTGTTCTGCACAGCAAGATACCCTATTGGTTGACAAAAAACGTTTATCATGATCTTGTAGGTTGACTTGGTGATTGTTTCTTGTGGTCTTCACAATCACATGGCAACTGAGTCTGGAGTTAGCTAGAGATTCAAGTGCACGTGGTATATAAGATGTCTTCATATTCATATGGCTGGCCCCTCAGCCAGGAAGGCTGGAATACCTAGGGTCCAGCCAGGCGTCACTGTGACTCCAAACGACCTATTCCTGTGGCAGGCTTCCTCACGATATGCAGGATTGGGAAGTCAAGCTTCTTATATACTGCCTCACCCCTAAAACAAGTGTCCCAAGAAATCTAGGCAAGAATTGCAAAGCTTCTAATGACCTAACTCTCAAAGCCATGCAGGTATGACCTCTGACACACTCTATTGGTTAAAGTGAGCCATAGGGTCTCCTAGCCCGCAAGAGAGAGGACCATAGAAGGCTTTGAATGCTGGAGGGTGTGGTTCATTGAGAAACCATTTTTGGACACTAGCTTCCATAGTTATTAAGAAGATGGCCTCATTGATAAAGTGATATCAGAGGAGAGGTCTCAGGACACAGCGAGCGGGCTGGGTGGGTTCTGGATTAGGTTTCCTGGCAGAGCAAATGACAGTACAAAGTCCCAAGGTAGAAATGGCCATTGTATGTTTAAGGAAAACTAGGAGACATCTGTGACCAGTCAGTGAGGTTATGAGAGATGTAGGAAGTCATCAAAAAGCAAAGGAAGCTCCATAAGGTGTGTGGTCTTCTAAGCCTGTAAGGACTTCACGTTTATTTTAGCAATATGAGAAGCTAATTGAAATACTGAACAGACAAATGATATGATATGAAACAGTTATTACGATCATCCGGGCTGACAAAATAAAGCCTGGATCAGGGTGATAGCAGCAATAAGAGGTAGATTCAAATATACTTTAAAAGGAGAGATTTCAGTATTTGCTGATGTTTTGTGACATAAAAAGAATTAAATCTAGCATCGGGTTGTTCTGCTGGAGCACCTAGGAGAACAGTGTTGCAATGTAGAAGACGCCGTGAGCTGTGATACAACAGCGTGGCCCCCAAGTTTGATTTCATATGTGTTAATTCCAAGATGCCTCTTATATAACCATGGGGAAATGAAAGTCAGTACGAAGCTTAAGTTATTGGATCATGTATGTGCCCTGGTATTATATAATTGCATATGTTTATTGTGACACTTGAAAGAAGAAAGAAAAGATTTGGGTAGCTCACAGTTCTGGAAAAGATTTGGGTAGCTGACAGTTCTGGAAAAGATTTGTGTAGCTCACAGCTCTGGGAAAGCTTGAAAACAATGCTCTCATCCGGACAAAACTGAAGGGGTGGTAGTACTACGAAAGAAGCCCATGGTTGTAATTCAGGCAAACAGATCTGAACTCAGGCTCCACCTTTTATTAGCGGCGAGGCATCAATGCATTCCACAATCAAAGCTTTAGTTTTCTACTCTGTGATGTAAGCATAATGAAACTCCCCTTGGAATGCAGTTGTGGGAATTAGTGAGCTAATGCACATAAACCAGGTGACACCTGACAGATTCTCCATCAATGGGGGCCGTTTTCCTAGCCCTACCATGGCCCCTTCCTCCTGTAGACTGCAGAGGAGGGAAGCACACAGAGGGCAGCCCCAACACCTGCAAGCCTGTGTGGCCCCACCCTTCCCTTGGGACAGCACCTGCACACTGTGGGAGGAGCAACGGGCAGCAGCTGGACAGGGTTAACAGCAGGGGAGACCTCAGCAGTCTGTACACCGCCTCCTCCAGGCTGGCCTGGCAAACGTGTGAACTGCAGGTTGGCAGAAATGCACGCCAGTGTCCCCAGGTGAACCAGGCTTTGTTCACTTTTGAAGTTTCAGACAGAGGAGGCCCAGTAATGCAAACCAGATGAGCACAGCTGGCACAGAGCTCCCTCAAAGCTCTCTGACTGCCTAATAAATGCAATGCTCTTGAGCTGCATGGCACCCAGAGTAGGAGCTGTGGTGTAGCCAGGACTGAGAGGAGGTGTCAGGGCCACCGAACTCCGGGCTCCCCTGTGGCTGGAGAAGTTCCCTGAGCACACCCTGACCTTGCCATTCCCTCTCATGTTTTAAAAAGCAAAATAGGCATTTCCTTGCCGAATTCCATTTCCTTTCCTATTCCCATCTCTTCCCCTCACCTTCCCACAGTGAACCCACAAAGCCAAAGCCCAGGGCTGCTATGTGCTGGGCCCCTGTGGGGAGCAGTGAGGCAACCCCTCTCTGCCTGGCTCAGATTCTGAGGGTTCTGGTCCGGAAACAGTTAAGTCATGTTGTTCGGAAGTCCCTTCACATTATCCAGATTTGGCTTAGAGATAGATTTATGCTACTGGTCTTGACTTTTCTCCTTAATTTACAAAGAGCTCTATGACCTCAGTCATTCCAGCGTCTTGTTGGAATTTTCTGCCCAGTGCAGTTTATTACAGGGCAGTTGGGGCAAGCGAAGCTGCAACCTGACTCCTGACTCAGGCAGGATCCCAGCAAAACAGAGGCCGCCAGACCACGAGGCTTCTGCTCAGATTCCCCTGCAGCAGCCTTCTGTTCCCAGGCTGCAGTGGCTGCAGGAGATCAGCTGACGGGGGCTGTTTGTCGGCTTGCTGAGCTGCCCTTTCACCTGACTGAAAACTATCTCACAGCAATCAGGGCATCAGGGCTCGTTTGCCAAAGACAGTGACACAGCAGTGTCGTCCAGAGTCCTTCAGTTCAATGAGCTCCTCACTTTAAGGTCAGAGAACTCTTCACCAACTACAGAAAGGACAAAGAAAAGTCCATGAGGTTGTGGAATCACAGAAAAGAATAAAGTCCCAGTAATGCGAAGTCTGCCACCCTCGCCCGGTGGCCAGAGCTGGCTCAGGGGAGCTGCTCTGGAGTGGAGCTGTCCGTCACTTGGAAATTGGGCCTCATCCTCTGGGATTTTAAGAAGTTCTTTTTCTCGTAAAGCAGATTTATTCCTCCACACTTCTACTCTTTCTGTTACTGGCTTCTAAGGTATATTCTCAGTTTGAAAAATAATTCATTCTTTCTTGCTACAGAAACAAGCCTAACTTAAAAATTATTCATTCTGGGCATGGTGGTGTGCACCTGTAATCCCAGCACTGTTCAAACCCAGCCTGGGAAAGTTAGCAGCTTAATGAGACCCTATCTCAAAATTTTAAAGAATTAATAAAAGGACCTGGGATGTACATCAGTGGGAAGGCCTTAGCTTCAAATCCCAGTGCTGCCAAAAAAATGTTATCACAAGACAACAAATCAGAATAACCAAGTCTTAAGTTTTAAAATTTTTATCTTTTTTTTGTGAAAAGCGTAGCCTTTTGGAAGAGGACTTGTTTCTCCTGAGCCCAGCCAATGCTGTCACCTTTCCTGGCATATGAAATAGCAGAAGGAGACGGAGAGTAAATGTCAGCAGCCTCAAATCCAGCTCGGCTTTTTACGAGCCGCATCATCATGGGTATGTTATTCTTAATTTACAGCCCAGTTTCCTCATCTGAAAAACAGGAAGAGACACCTGTGCCGCAGATAACAAATTGTGAGAGGGTGCTTATTTAAGGTTCACCCCAGAACTCCCCACTGGCTTGTCCAGGGGTTCCCCTGTGCACAGCCCCTTCCTCCCTTGTCTTTGCTCCCCAACCTTTCCCATCCTGCTCCCTAGTGTCCTGCTTCTTTCTGGGAATGTTTTTGTAGTCGAATTCTCAGAGACTGCACAGAAGCTAAAAATACAGCCAAGATGCAATGAATACCTGTGAGCAGAGCCCGGCTTCCTGCTGATCACGTTACTAGAGGGCGCTCTGAGACTGGGGAAGCAGGAGAGGAAGCGGGTGTCAAATGACAGGAAAGATCATTCCACACCTCTGCACCCTGTCAGGAAAGGAGGGAAGAGGGCGGCACAGCACCAGCAGATCCTGAAGGTGCATGAGAAAGTTTGTGCAGAAAAGTGCAAAGCAAGCACAGGAGGACAGGATTCACGGCAGGGAGGTCTCGGGTAGCACTGCAGGCAGATGCCATGATAAACTGAGGTTATGAGGTGACCCAGGCCTCTGGGGAGAGTCTAATGAGAGGAAGCTGGACCTGTAATCAAGTACTGGTAGGAACCTATACTCATTGTTATGTTTGTGTCGCAGGTAAATTATACTAGGACCAGTAAAGTAAAAAGAGATTAGCTTAAAGTCCCAGCTCTCTGCACACGAGAATGTGTGGAAGCTGCCGTTAGAGCAATATGCCTCCATATCTGCATACTTTCCACCCTTCAAGGTCAAGTGACTCTACAGGAGCTCAGAAATAGGAGACAGGGCTTCCACAGGCTCCAGGTGTGGGGGTTGAAAGAATCAGAGGAGGAACCACTGTTCGGGCTTCCACCGGGGCCCAGAGGGTGCAGTGTGGCCTCTATGAAAAAGCAGTCCCACTGAAGATTCCTCTTTCTCTCTAATGGAGTCTTTTTGAGCAGGGTAATCACTAACACCCAATCTACCTTGTCATTAGAGGAGCCAGGCACTTATTTACAGACCAATTCTGTGGATCAACGTCCCCTTCTCCAACTTACGGCAGACACATGTGCAGTAAGACATATTTCCTTCAGCCTGGATAAAGGAGTGCAGATCTCTCCTGTCTCTTACCCGCACAAGACTGCTTCAGGACTAGATGGGGCAGCCACCAGGACAGCACGCTGAGCTTGGGAGAGTGAAATCCTAGAGAGGGCGAACTAGTTGTTTTCACATCCCAGAAATATTACTTCTGTTTTCACATTCCGTTCTTTTTCCTCCATTGGTCTGTCTCTGTCCGCTCACTTCCCTCTCATCCCAGGAAAACCCTTCTATCACTCCATTGTAAGTGCTAGGATGGGTCTTCCCATATAGCAGGAGTCTGAAACACTGCGTTCCTTCTTTGGCTGCTCTGACATCAGCCACTTTATGCAAAACTGAGTGTTCTAAAGACAGAGTCAAGCATCGGTGGAAAGAGAGGTCTTCTTTTTAGCTCCTGCAAATGGTTCAAGTAACACAGCTGCTATCCAGCTTCATGGCCAGTGTCACAGCCATAGGTTCCCTTTGGCCGATGGAAGGAGAAAACAAATAAAAATATCCCAGGCTACCCTCACGGACTCCCAAACTAGGATGATTTCTGACGAGTGACCTCACGTTTAGGTTCACAGTGCTAAGGCTTCACTTTCCAAACAATACAGCAATGTTGTTCCCCGGGGTTTCTTTTTCCCAGGTCATTGTATAGGGAAAGAACAATAAAGAATTAAAACCCTCTGCGTTGAGAGTAAAACCTTTCAAATTCCACTTCAAGTGGATCTAGTGAGACTGAGCAAAAGTGTCTTCCCCAGCTGCCTGCTGGACACTTTAACAGGAGAAGGCAGAGACAGAAAAGTCCAACTCTTGAGGTAGGGTAGCAAACCCAGGAGAGCCAGTCCAGTGCTCACACACACTGGACTGGAAGAACTGGTACGCATGACCCTCTGTGCTATGTATGAAGCAAATAAGGTATATCCCTCCACTGTACGGGAGTTTCAGAACACTAGAAAATATTCATATGTCATGTAATAGTAGTTCCCAGATGATATACTTTAAATACAACTCATCACATTCCTCGCCTTGTCTTGATTTTCAAAACAGGCAGCCTAACCAGGCACAATGACACACACCTGTAATCCCAGCACTCCGGAGGCTGTGGCAAGAGGAGCATTGCCAGAGCAGCCTGAGCTGCAAAGTGAGTTCAAGGTCTGCCTGAACTACATAGTGAGACCCTGTCTCAAAAAGACAAAAAACAAACAAACAGAAACATAAAATCAGGCAGCTAAACGTCTCTTTTAAGTAGTTCCCTGTAGCATGAATATGCTCCTAGCATTACATACATACTTCATTGTTTGATGTTTGTCTCTTTCCTCTTGATTAAATAAATTCATAATTTCATACTTCTTTTATTATAGTTGCTCCCATTTCTTGTGTTGTTTGTTATAAGTAACCCACCTCTCATCTAATTTGGAAGAATAAATACAAAGATATTTATTTGTTAGTTTGTTTTGAGACAGGCTGACCTTGAACTCACTCAAAGTACCCATCCTCCTGTTTCAGCTCCCTAGTGCTGGGCTGACAGGTGTGTGCCACCACACCTGGCTAGTTATGCATTGTTTTAAAAAAGAATAAGGGTCATGACTTCTAGTCAACAAAAGATCTTTCTTCCTGTTATGGACTGAGTATTAAACATAGTCACTAATATGATGCTATTTGGAAGTGGGATCTGGGGAAGGTGATGCTGCAGGTGGAGTCCTCACACATGGGACTAGAGCCCTTATCAAATAACACACTGTAAAGTTTGCTTCTCTTATCTGTCTCTCTGCTGTCTGCCACATCAAGATACAACAAAAAGACAGCCATGCACAAACCAGTAAGGGGCCCTCACCAGACTGGTTCTGCTGACTCTGGACCTTGGACTTCCAGCTTTCAGAGCTGCATGGAACAAATGTCTGTTGTTTGAGCCACCTAACCTGTGGTATATCTGTTACAGTGCCTGACCTGACTAAGACAGTCCTATCCCAGGCATCTAGAAATAAAATAAGAAATTAAATATATTGATGAGTTCAAAAGCAAGACAAGGAAGTTCCTAGATGCCAAAATCAAGGCACAAATGAAAAGCCCTCTCAAGAGGCAAGAATGTAAATAACAAAGTCTCTGACCCATCAGGTGGCCTTGCCCTGAGCCAGAAAAGAGAGCAACCTCTGAGCAGATTCACTTTCACAGGTGCAGGACGTGGTGAGTGAAGTTCAGCTTGAATTCACCCCCCTATGCCACCTCACTCAGTGCCCTTGTGTACGACACAACCTGCACTTCTGTACCCAGGAGGCCCGACAGGTGCCACATCATTCAGAGAGGCCTGGGATTAGAAATAGGCCTTTGACGTAATGGACAGAGTTTAAATGCATACATAAAAGAAGGGCATTAACTCTTAATCCGTGGAGGATGAGGAGCTGATTGTACCTAAATCCTGAAGATAGAACCCAGAGTCTGTGGGTGGGTGCCTGGATGGATGAGATGTGGTGTACACATACACGGGATAGTGGCCTTGCATGTGTGGCAAGCTAGGAAAACCTTGAGGGCGTTATGTTAAATGAAAGAAGCCAGTCACAAAAAGACAAAATAGTGCATGATTCTGCACTACGAGGCAGCACTTAATATAGTCAGATACACAGAGGCAAGAAAGGTGATTGTCAGGGGCCAGGAGGAGGGAGAAATGCGTTTAATGGGTACAGAATTTCTGCATGGAAAGATGAAAAGTTTTTAGGGTAGACGGTGAGGTTGATACAACAGTGCAAATGTACTTAACGTCACTTGAGTGTTCCCTTAAAAATGGAGAAGATAGCAAATTTTTTGTGTATTTTTTCCCAATTTTTCAAAATTAGAAAATTTAACAAATAAATATATATATAAATGAAATCTTATTTTTCCATAAAAGAGAGTTGAAGCCTCTCCATCCCATAATGCCAGGAACTACAAAAGGCTGCTCTTGAAGTAAACCAAGAAGCCAGTCCTGGGGGCCTCAGTGGGAGAAATAGGAATCAAGAAGTCATGAACATCAGGACTGGATTCACACAAGTTGTAAGAATCTCACCTGAAAAGGGAGCCAAATCCAGTGTTTTTTACAAGGTCAGGGAAACATACAAATTCTTGTTGAGCACCTCTCAACCCAGACCCCAAGGAATTCCCATGTAAAACGAATTTCCCTGCAGATGAACTCACAGCCAACACCTAGCAGTCATACAAAGGAACCCCCAGGTGAGAGTGAGGGCGTGGCCCAGTCTCTGCCCGCCCACCCACACCTACGATCCAGCTGCCTCCACCTGGCCTCTGCGCACAAGGCAGACCCATGTGTGCTACTCCGTAGTCTGAGGAAGCCCTGGATTGCAGGGTGGGATCCAAGTTTTTACTCCCCAGTTGGCTCACCCATCTTTGGGCAGTGCCATCTCTTAACAGGAGGTCACTGAACTACTCCAGGTCACCTTCTTTTACTAAACTCCTTCCAAAGTCTAGGAAGACCTCCCTGTTCTTACCTCTTCAGGGCCAGGTGATGGGCTGTGCTGCCACTGCTTGCAGGTTATTGCATCATCCCCCACTGCCCGCCCCTCTGTAACTTGTCCCTTTGTAAATAAGTTTCCTGGAAGCTGAATACATCATCTGTTTCCTGTGGGAACCTTGATGAAATAGTCATAAACACATTCTAGTTTAAGAACCAGAAATTTTAAAGTAGGCACCAAAACTTTTCAAATTTTAAAGGATAAATGAAGTAACAGACACTATAAAGCAAGAATAGAATTGTGTTTTCTTTTAAAGGTCACTTTCAAATCCCAAGTGAAAATTCTAGAAATAAAAAATATAGTTGAAACTTTTAAGAAAAATCTAAATGTATAGGTTAACAAGGAAGTTCATCATTGCCAAAGAGACAATTCCACACTGGAGA